TATTGTCAAACTGTTCAGAGAGAGTTCTCAATTAAACTGAAGATAAAGTGTGACCGAAACCACTTTTCAAATGACAGATTTGATGATATATACGATTAAAGAAATAAGTAGTCCAAAAAGTAATAATATGAAATGAACATCTGACTTGTTTAGTCCACCTCATATATAAATAAATCCAATCAGATAAATCCAGAAACACTACTTATTAACTTGAATTCAACTAAACGAAATGATTTTTTAATTATGATATCTCCTTAATCTGATCAACGATTATTGCTGACTGTAGTTAATTTTTTCTTAAATCTGTTTTTTCTTGCATTCTTTTTAGGTAGATATTTTGCATTAGTTTCAATCTTCTGCTTATTCCTAAAAATGTAAGTGTAAAATCTAATTTGGCATAATGCCAGCCAACGATGTACACAGAATAGTTATCCACAATTGATTGATCACTTGGAGGTGATCGATTTCATGTATGTTAGGTCCTTCTTAGTGCAGATCGAATGCTATCGACTAAGTTGCAATGTGGACACTAGTCCAGTTGACTCGACATTGCGTGCAATATGTTAAGATAAGATGGTGTTTGGAGGAAGTCAACACGAAACGCTGTTTTTTCACCCAGGTTTCGTGCTATTTGGCATTCGTCAGCAAGGTGTACCTGTAATCTTGAGAGAACTGGTGCCCCCTGACAGAGTCGATCCCAAATCACACAGATTCACAACCAGAGACACCATTTGGCTATCCGGGCCCAACAAGGTTTCCTGTTGATTACCTCCAACTACCATCTTACAGAATAGTGGAAGTATGTATTCAGAAGTTGAAAGAAAAAAAGTACCCATAATGAAATGATTAAGAATTATGTTCTTTAAATAAATGAAATCTTTATAATCGATGTCATGTTAATTTATTGAGTATAATCACTGAATTTTAAATAAACAATCGTAAACAATAAATATCTTCATACTACTTCACTAATTCATGACAAAAGCGACAACGACAAGAAAAACAATTGACTGATCATCACCCAGTGATCAATCAATTGTGATTACATCACAGTCCTACAGGAGGTCGGTCACGGCCCAGATAGCTCAGTGGTAACGTCTGTGAATGTGAAGCTGGGTGACACGGGATCGAGTCCGTCAGGGAGCACCAGTTCCCTCAAGATTACTGGTACATCTTGCTGACGAGTGCCAAGTAGTACGAAACCCTTATGCAGGGTTTCCTGTTGACTACCTCCAACCACCATCTAAAAAACAAACAAACAATTTATTTATGATTCCCAATAGTGTTTTAACATACATAGTTTTCACATGTTTTCTACTGAATAAGATTAAATAACCATGGTTTATGGTAGAAATTGATTATGATCAATATAAAGCTAACTGACAACAAAACTAATACAAGAAACAATTTAATACATGTGATAAGATATGAATTTTATTGAATTATATAATTAATTGTATTGTATGAAATCTAGTTACTGCTTACTGATAATAACTAATGAAGGTTAATTAATACCATGAACTGAATAATGTTGTTAGTAAATATGAAGCACAGAACGTTGTTGTTTTTTCTAACTATTGGGTCAATTGTAACATTGATGTTTGTAAAAATTAATACTCATTTATAAATAAATCTCAATGGTTAAGATCATTAGTCAGTTGAAGCAAGACCACCTTGGAAAATCTGGAAGCACTGGACGGCCGTTACGTCCTATTGTATATATATATATATATATATATATATATATATATATAAAGTCTAACGTGAAAGCTATAATACACTGAGATAAACTGTCTCCTGGTGATTAGTGTAATTTCGAAATAGAATACCACTTTCCGAGTGTTGGTTAAGTTATAATATTCAGTAAATACATTATTAGTGTAATTCCCTACCAACTGGAAATTTGTGTATTTTACTTTAGGTCAAACATTTCTTATTAAGGTTATTAGACACTACTCGACTGTGAGAAAATCTAATAGATTAGGCAGTATTCCGATCTGAGACTCAACTACTAAACCACCTCTCCATCAGACAAGTTCTTATTTTGTAACTCATTAAGTTACAACATCGAAGCTCAAATCTAGTGAAATAAAAAGGATGAAATGTGTTTACAACTCAGAATGAGGATTTTAGATCTCGAGCTCTCTGTATTGGTTAGTTTACTAGTGAACCTTTCAATGTTCTTCTAGAGAATATTATCAACCCATACTTAGGATTTCTCCATCATCAACTAACAAGTTCTGTTGACCTAGGATTTGATTGATTGTTGTTGTCAGAAAAACAACCTGTTTACAAAATGTTGAGAAGTTCGAATAGCTCACTTCTTTCTTAACTATGTTGATGACACTATCAAAAAATACAGTGAAAGTTTCACAACTAAATCCATCCAAAAGGCAAAACAACTTATCGTGTACAAAGCTGATGTACGGTAACCATAATCTCACACGTCGTAGTCCATTACAAGCAACTATTTTTCAATATATTTTTCTTGCTAAGAATGGTCTCAAGTCTTTGTTCATTCAATTTTAGTTGTCAATCATAACAATTTAAATATAATTATTCAATATGAATGGTCACTTAGTGTTTGCAATGCATGGTAATGTTAAACATGCAAAAGTCCATTCAATAACTATAGATAATCAAACAATTCCAAGTTGTATCTCACCATAAAAAAGTTTAAGACAACAATTACAATATTTATCAACAAATCCAATACACCCAAATCACTTAGATAAATTTGCCACCAACGATTACTTGGACAATGTAACAAACTCATTAACCAACTATTATAGCCAGTAAAGATTTTCGCATTTATCAATACTTTCTACCTTCAGTTACCTTATTTATATGACAGTAATAATAGTATTGTCTATTTCTTTAATATCTCTCTCTCTCTCTGTGCCATTCTCATTGTATTTGTAATGATAGGCACAATAATAAGTATCACTGTTTTCCTTCAGTATCTTACTGGTTTTTGATAAATTTGTTTTCTTGTTTAACTTGACAACAATAATAGACAACACCCCAATGAGAAAGTAACTAAACTACAATATGAAATTGTTGAGTATATCTCCTTTTTCGAATTATTGAAATTCTTACCGGTTTATTGTTAGATATCATTTTTCCTTTGCTCATTCTTTCATCATGTCAAGGTGTAACTAATCAGATATGTTTTAAGCTTAGTAGTGATTATTTTCGTAAGCTTTTCTATGCAGGGACAAATTTTGTTAGCCAGTACATATTTTGTAACAAGAGATTATATTCCTGATTAGCACATGTCTTTCTTTGTTTCTTCCTACAAATTAATATTCTGGGATAACTGATAGAAATCAAATGGTATGTAATTTAAGTATTAATGATTAAACATTCAAATTTACAGTTCTTATGCTCTAGAATAGATAAAATCTGATCGCTGTGTCACTGGTAAACCCTTTTCGTAAATTCAACTTAATTGTTTCGAAAACCTTTCTGTTCTTCATTTGATATTCTCGCGGCGAGGGTATTGTTTACGAAATTAAGAAGACGAAAAGCGAATATCTGGCGCTTTAACCGAGTTGATGGATATGGAGGATCCACCTAAGGGAGTTGGAAATCCCTGATTCCAAACCAATGATGAACATGTGACACAGGATCGTAAAGCAACAAATGGCGTATAAACCAATTATCGGTCTCCGGCTACCATGGTTCTGCACCTCCTTACATTGCTCTACTGCCTTATGGTTCAGACCTTTAGGTCGAAGGCTCCGGATGTGGCCCCTTAAGAAAACCACCTGCTTCGGTTTGGACACCCGGATAGTATCGCAGCCCTAACACAAATCGAGTGATTTATGTGGCGCATATGGATTCGGTGCTCCTTTGTATCAGTGCTTATGTGTTTAAACAAATAAGTAATGAATAAATATTAGTTTTTGTAACTCAGCAATAGATTACAAGTTCTTGTGAATATTTTGTAAAGAATTGAGATACCACCTATCAATTAAGTTGACTAGTGTTTATAAGCCGAGGTTAAATTATTGAGATACAGTTACACTTCCAGGTGAAGATCTGAACCGAGAAATGCCGCTGATGTTAAGAACTTGATGAGAAATTAATCTGTTCTAGCTGACGCCAGCAAACTTAACTTTCCAAGCAACATCTCTCGTAAATGCCATTCATGAATTTAAATAAATTTTACATCTTTTGTAAATTCAAAAACAACAAAGTCCAGTGCTCATATTTTGTGACATACTTCATAATCCATACCATATGCTTAAGTAAACAAATAAACAAAGTTGGTTTGTACATTTTAAGGAGCAGATACGACAAAACCAGAAAAGTTAGTCCCAAAACTAGAACTTTAATATCTAACTGTCAATACACATCTACATGATATGAAAATTGCACCTCAAACGGAGACGATAAATTAAATGACACCGCTAAATAAGTTACACGAAATCCTGATACCATTCACTCCATATCAGTGTCAATTATTTATTTTAACACATAGATATTTGTACAAGGAGGCATCAAATACATATGCGTCACACAGATCTCATTTGATATGTGTGAGGGCTGTGATACTGCCCGTGTGCCCAAACCGAAGCAGTGTCAAACGACAGTAGGTTCTTGCGTATCCAAATTATAGTCCGAACGACTCGGCACGGGATAATATAAAGAGATGTTAAGCAACTGAGGAGTCATATTTTCCCAGAAAAACCTGAAGATTTCGACTTGATACGCTTTTAGTAAGACTCATCAGCCTGAAGTAAGAAATCAATGCAAGACGACTAACGCTTATAATTTTATGCTGCCAAAAGGCATATGAGGCGTATAATAGAAAAAACTGGAATTCCTTAAGTATATACACAGATCCAACCGGAAAAACTTGACAACGCTAGTCTTTACAGACTACAGTTTATAAGACCACATCTGAAACCTCCCGTTTTTACCATTCTCATGTTATTTGGTATTAGCCCAACAATGATCCCTAGCTTCCCCACTTCATTAAATAAAGACAGATTCTGTAACAGTAAATATATATTAACATAAATTAATCAACTGCACATGCACATAAATGTAATGACTGAGTTTTAAACCCAAATAACAAAAGAAACAATCTGATAACAAGCTGTATACAGCCAATCACTGAAAGATAATAGGTAATAGGAAAAATAGCGTGAATAAGAACCAAGTGTGGTGTTAATAGTTGGTAGATCACAGAAATAGAATCGAAAGATGAAGAATTTCGCAATATTGCTTTTATCATCACAGGATCCAATTAAACACTGTTAAAATAGATCAGAAATATTTTAAAACATCCACCAAAAATATGTACAATGTGGTCACTTCTAGATACTTTAGCTAATCCAGTTAATGTGTGATGAACACAAAATCAATCAACATAACAAGAGTGAGAGAACATAAAGTCGACTATAAAAATGCCTCACGGAGTTGATTACGGAAGACTAAAGGTAGAAGTGATAAACCAGCTAAAATAATCAGTGTTGAAAATGAAGCTAAAGAAGTAACGCCTAAATCTGTGAGTTCTTGAAGCACAGTTCCTGCTTTAATGAAAACCAATGATAATGGAACTACCCCTGTAAAAAAATAGAAAAATAAAAGACAAGAGTAGTGTTACATGAAGTTGAAATAAATACTAGAAAAAAAATATAGGAATGCTGGAATATCGATGAAGTACTTCATACAAAATATAAGTGAGATCTATTTGCAATTTGGAAAAATCGTACACAAAACAGGTTAAGTTATTCACTTGTAACTATATGGCCGATTACAGGTTTATTCACTAAATCACTTAAAAACATACTGTGACGATTATCTGGTTTCTCAGTCTCACTATCAAAATCAAAGGTCCAAACTTAATTATTCAGTTATTATTCAGTATATGAACCAATGATAATAATCATACAAATTATATGAGCTTACAAGAAATTTTAGTTATACACCACTAAAGCAGAAAAAATATCCAAATCAAATCAGCGAGAATGGGCTTGCCGTGTTGACTCCAAACAGAGATGGTCGGCTGGGGACAACCAGTGATCCCATAGATTTTGATTTTCAGATCACTTATGAGAGGTCTTTTTAAACACCGGTATGAGTATTGGAATAATTTAATAACCGCATAAGTTTACCGACATAATAGTGTAAAAAGCTTACCTACAAATGTTCCAAAGAAGAAATGAACCAGTGGGATATCGATTATTGGAGAAGAAATATTCACAAGCCAATTTGGGATGAAAGGACAGATTCGCAAACAGCATATACAAAAAAACATTGCATGTCGATACCGTTGAATCTGAAACATACTAAAAGATGGATGATCCGAACTTACTGTTTGACGACATAATTCAATTTTTTCAGGGATGAAATACATCAGTACTTTGGAACCGATAAAGCCAACGAGAAGATAACACAGTGACGCCCCAATCGCCGAACACTAAATACAACTTTATCGATAATTTTGTGGTGGCTTACCAAAGCTACAATAATGACAGCGACTGGGAAAGGGAACAGATATCCCAGTAGAACAACACACACGACCGAACCTGGTATCATGAATGACTGAAGGCTATGTTTCAGTTAAGAAACAATTTAGAAAGTTTCATCAGGATACGTAAGTTAAGCAATAATACATCGGCCGTGAAACGAAGCGACTAGAGCCCCAAGAAAGCCACTACGTTGACCGACTGACATTTTGAGCGAAATAGTATCTCAGTACAGTAGAAATGGAAGAAACATCGGACTTAAAAGCAGCATTCGACTCGGTAGACCGCGAGATTCTGTGGCAGTGTCTGTCATTGAAAGGCGTACCCCAGAAGTACATAAACCTTGTAAAAGCTCTTTACTCGAACACTACTAGTCGAGTCAGAGCTTATGGCGAACTGTCATCTACTTTTGCAACCTCAAGTGGTGTCCGTCAAGGATGTCCACTTTCCCCATTTTTGTTTAACTTCATCATAGATCTACTGATGGAAATAACTTTCTCGTCGACTGAGTTCTCGGGTATTGATCTCCTTCCAGGAGGTCCACTTATCGACTTAGAATACGCAGATGACATAGTCCTGTTTGGTGAAGACGCTGACAAAATGCAGTCTTCTAGTAGCACTAAGCAACAATGCCAGAATGTTTGGAATGCGCTTCTCTCCCTCTAAATGCAAGTTGTTGCTTCAGGACTGGTCTGCATCAACACCTGAACTAAGGATAGGGAGTGAAGTAGTCGAACGCGTTGACAACTTCACTTATCTTGGAAGTCTGATCAGCCCTAATGGGTTGGTATCGGACGAAATCTCAGCACGGATTCGAAAAGCTCGTTTGGCTTTTGCCAACTTACGTCACCTGTGGCGAAGGCGAGATATCCGTCTATCAATAAAAAGACGAGTATACTGCGCGGCAGTCCGTTCTGTTTTGATTTACGGCTGCGAAACATGGCCATTAAGAGTAGAAGACACTCGTAAGCTATTAGTAATTGACCACAGATGCCTTAGAAATATTGCTGGCGTCTGCTGGGATCACCGGGTAAGTAATAGTGAGGTTAGACGCAGGGTATTAGGAAATGATGGTAAATCAGTTGATGAGGTTATGAATCTTCACCGACTGGGATGGTTGGGCCACGTGTTACGTGTGCCTGAACACTGATTACCACGACGTGCAATGCTATCCGGTATTGGAGATGGTTGGAAGAAAGTTAGGGGCGGCCAAAACAAAACGTGGCATCAGTGCTTGAAGTCACTAACTTCTAGTCTGAGCCATGTTGGTAGATGCAGACTACTTGATTGGGGTCCGCGTGACTATCGTAACCAATGGTTGGAGACTCTTGGTGACATGGCTCAGAATCGATCACAATGGCGTCGGTGTATACACTCCCTGTCTTCCCTTAAACTAAGAGATTAAAATCGCTTCATATCTTTCTTTCTACGAACCAATTCTTTCTTCTTGTACTATATCTCTATATGCAATCTTTCTCTTATATATTACCACCTTTGACATAACCACTGCTATGAATCCGGTGTTCATCTTGTTGTGCTGATGCGGTATGGCAACCTGGACCGATGCATATATGTGCCTGGTCCTACGTTGTAGCTGACTGACTGACATCTGGTTTGAACAACTAAATTAACCTTACGAAACAGGTGTCTACAACACCAAGTAATGACACATTAGCATGTTTGACAGAAAGGGATCTTCATACTTAACAGCACAAGTGAGGCTCTTTATACACGTTTCGTAATCAGAATGTGATTACATGAGCACAAGCGCTATTCCTAAGTACTTATTCCAAGTTAGCATAAACCCCAACCATCTAAAGTTCAGCATATTTCAAACTCAGAATAAAATACTCAAGGCATTTGTCTAAACCACTGAATTCGAATCGTGGAGTAAACTCGGAAACGATAATTGGTTATTGTCATCTATACGTAATGAGATTACATAATACGGTTATGTGCACGTAATAAGAACGATAAAGATCAAAAAACGGTAAAATAAAACCCCAAGTAATCTGATACCAGCCACAAACCCTGATACTTAGAAACTTAACAATATACACGAAGCAACATCTACACACTTAGTTTTCCCAATATATGGAGTAAATATGATTTCTAGAAACTGGAAACTCGGGTGTTTAACAAGTCAGAATTCAAAGTCTGTTTACTGTTAAGGATGTTTCGAACTTGGACTTCTCTCTCTAGTTAGCGGAGCTGGGAAGCATCTGTTGATGGTTTCGCTGCATTAATGACCGTTCCTGCATTTTTGTCTGATTTCTGCAAAAACAACCTTTATAGTGTCCTGAATTGATTGCACATCACTATGTCTGTTTTTTTAAATTTCGAAGTTTAATCAAAGGAGGATCAGGACAAGTAACTGTTGTAGAAAACTAATCTGCTAATTCCAAGCAGGGGATGTTATGCTGTGTGATGACTGCAGATGGTAGCATAAAATGTGTACCGACTAACCTGTTGTCTATGAAGAGTAGCAAGCAACAGCGGTGACAGTTGCACGAAATGTTTTGTTCTACAACATCTATCTATATGGAAGCGGTTGCGGAGACGCAGAAAAATGGACTAGAAATGTCTAACGATAAGATAAGGACTTGGTGGGTCACAAAAAGTTTACCTTATGTAATTCACAATTCGCCATTGACTGTCAAGAGTCCACGGACAAGGTTTGAGTAAGATCTAGAACACATCAAGTCATTATTTAATAAGCTATTACTAGCAGCTGTTGTTAAAACCCATAAGACCAATGAAATAGGAAGACAATCTGAAGATGACACTTAACAGAAGAATCACCTTAGTAACCCTTGCTTGTACTACGGAGACAAGCTCTAAGTAACTAAAATATATGTCCGCGTTGATCCGAAACTAGTTATTCGCAACAAAAAACGACCCTAAGAAACAGGAACAAACGGACGCTGACTTCATGGGGATAAACTGATTCTTAAGGGTTTTTACATCGTCTAGGTTTGAATTCGAATGGTTCTCAAACCACTGTGAGTTGCACGAAAAAGTATCAGACAGAAATGCCTGTCTGTCATGCCAATCACGATGGTCTGCTGAATAACAGAACTCACATATTCAGTAGCAGAGAAAATCCTGATGTATTTGAAACCTCAAAAATATGACTGACGTCGGGCACATGACAGCGAAATAAAACTGACAAGCTTCTTGCTATTAAGAACTGGCGGATAACCTTATGTGTTAAGGATGTTATCGTTTTCCTGAGAAAAACTTATTAGAACCGATTAGCATCGGCACCACACACAAGTAGAACTAAAAGGATACAATATGAAAACGGTGCTTATTAGAATTAATATTTGCCAGTAATAATTGTCTTGGTATTCTGACAGGACTTGACCAATATTTTTTAACTCGTCAACATTGTGAGGAAATTTAAAGTGTCCTCGATGTTCCCTGGCAGCTAAAGTAAGAGAATATATGTATTTACTCTGGAATTGAGGGTAACCGACGAGTGATATATACAAGCAATGATGCAAATAAAATAAATGAGAGGCTAACGACAAGAAACGGCCTTAGCCGCTCACTACTAACAGCCTTCATCCCACCCCGCCTTTGTAAAGGTCGACCTCAGGGACAAATGGTAGGAACTGAAACAAATTGCTCATGTGGTTCAAGGGTTTGGAACGAATTTGAAGATGCTTTGGATTAATGGACTTCTTCCTCTGATACAACTTTTGGTCATTGAGAAAAATTTCAGCTTCCTCTTGAAACACTCGTACAAAAATGCTCGGAACATCTCAAATGACAAAGAAATTCAGGTTTTGACTACTAGTTACAAACAAAAAATATATCGACGGTTCACTTTTCAGTGTCACATTTCTGGCTTTTGGGTATCCCCTCTGAGGTTTTTGTTAGAACCGAAGCTGCGTAATTATTCTAGAAGATGTCCGAGTATATTGAAGGTCCTTTAAATCATCATGTGTCTGCCTCTGTGCGGCCTTTGTTCCAAAGAACTAACTGGTGATTTAAAACTTCCCTTTTAAAACTTGGTTTTGAGTCCATGAATCAATCTCATAGTCTTTGGATACAATTCAGAGTATTTTCATTCTTCTGAAGTGAAAGAAACTGTGTTTTTATTATATTGTAGCGTCAGTGAAATGGCGCTGAGCCTTAGCTGAATAATTCAGAAGGCAAGTCACTAATGTCAAACAGCTTGTCGATCCTCTCCAAGGTCAGGGATAACCAGATGTATCAATTAACTGCACACTACGGACTTGCCCACGTGGCAGTGGTCACACTGTTTCTTCTACGTATTCTTAACAATAAATTTCCACCAAAACACAATGTTCAGCTTATGCTGTCGTCAAAGTGGGTACGACGAAAGAGCAGTACACGTTGAGCATTAACTGCAACGTGAGACTTCGATGTTAGCCAGAAATTTACACCATTCCCGTCAAGCTCAAGTGGATCCCAGTCATCGACATTGAACACCTACGTTAATGATCTACACTCTAATAAAAGCAATATAAATGTTGAAAACTGAGTGAAAAGTTTTCCCACCAGGCTAGCTGAAATTGGGCTGTTGGTTTAAAGGCATTTATGTTACACTTCACACTTGATTTTGAATCATAGATAATCAAGACACTAAGACTTTTCTCGACTTGTGAAACTTGTAGGGTGGAACTATCTAGGTGTTTGGCGAATTTTACAACATATCGTAGACTGTCTACTTCATACTTTGCAGACTTTTTATGGTCGAAACATAGATGTTTAAATTCTAAATTGTCCACGTAAAATTGTTGCGTAGAATACCATGATCAATTAATGCTAAGAGAGTAAGAATAAACAGATCGCTGTTTCGGAAGTAGTCGTCTGCGAAAACGCATTCTGCGCTTGACGGCGACTCGGCAACTCTTCACATAGTTTCTGACCCTTATCCTTGAGCTGACCTAGTTCCTCAAGCAGATTTAATTATTTAGCTTCCGAAATCATCTATTTTACAGATAGTTTCAAATAAATCGAGTATTAAAGGAATAAAAGCCTTCCAAAGTTTATTTACACATATATCTTAGACGAAAAATGCGTTTGGTCCTTCCGACCTCACGTTGCCGTACAAGGCGTCAGCGGCAAGTATCCTATAGATTAACCAATCCTAACACTTCGAAGTATTGGGCGATTACAACGAGCGTCATGCAGCTTCGTCGAGACTGATAATCACCTGACTGGATACATGACGTACCCCAATTAGCGGCGTACGTAAAGAGGATTTCGCCTCCTGCTGCAGATTTTCCGCGGTCATCTCTGATGTCTTTATTAGATTTACAGAAAAGAACATCGAGAGTTGTCACGATTATGATACTAAGTATGATCTGTCCAATCGTTGTAACGCAAGTTGGTTAACTATAAAGCATTTTCAGTAGTAAGACTAGTCATTGAAAGCCAGATCAAAAACGGTTTAAGTCCGGGAACACCCTGTGCCGTTTTCTTTATTTTCAAATACAAAATTTACGCGGTAGACTTTTATCAGGTCTCCAAAAGCTCAAGGTGGCTTGAGTCAAGCTAAAACACTTCTTGACAGTGAAACCTCGACGAATGATTAAAACCGAGTTGCAGTGGATAAAGATCAATAAAAAAACTAGATGGTACGAGAATCAAACACTCCTAGGTTTTCGTTGTTTTTTTATTTCGATTTCCGATTTGTTTAGTAAGGACAGAAGGCCTACGGCCTATGTTAGTCCTTTTCTAGTATGATTCTGTAAATACCCAGTCTTCTCTTGAATGGGCAAGCTAAAGATGAGGACACCGCTGCTTCGGATAAAAGGTTTCAAAAATTAATGACTCTGTGTAAATACCTGTGTTCTACGGGTATTTTATTCTCTCTTGGCTTTTCTACACGCCTGCTATGTCTTCTGAGTTGTCTCAATCTTGTAGGAAGAAGGAGAGATATCAAGTCCAAAATAATTTCTTAGTATTATATACATCAAAATCAGATTGTATTATAGCCTGTGGTAGGACAAAGTGAAGAGGCCTAGCTTTCCTAGACGCTCTTTGTATGATAAACCTCGGAGTTTTGGAATCTCTCGGGCAGCTTCCCTCTTTACACTTCCCAAGGTATCCAAGTCATCATTTAAACAAGAGCTTACAGTCTGAACACATTTTAAGTTCCTTTTTCGCACCGAGGTTATGTATACTGTAGTGAACACAATAGTATCTAACCGGGTAAATGTTCTTTGAAGCCCAAATCGTTCTAAACTTCTCAGCTACAACCTCTTGGCAGTGGACCGTGGTTTTAAGATCATGACGTGCTGTCACGCCGAGGATATGAAGGTAAATAAGCACAGCGTAGGGGACATACCAGCACTCACAGTCCGGTCCCACCTTGCCTCACTGAAAGATATCGGTTATTTTTTAGATCAGCCAATCACAATTTTAAAGTCAGCTTGAAGTAGGCATGCGTCAGTGTCTCCTGATATTTATCTCCGGATTTTTGCATCATCAGAGTGTGGTATTATGGTCTACTATGATATTGGTACTGCTCTAATAATAGACCTAATCCTAAAATTGCAGATTCGTCATGATATAACTGCTTAATCTTTAAGATCTTACGTGTAAGTCACACCATCGACTACACCAACTCACTGTATCGTATCAACTACCAATACATGATGTAGAACAAGGTTAGGCTAGAGAAGGAACAATATATTTAATATGAATAGAAGATATAAGGTAACATTCAGAGCGACCACGCCTGCATGGCCGAGTCATGCCATCCGATCAACTCCAGTCCATTCAATTCACTGTTCCCGCCTTTTCCATCGTTGGGTATTTCTCCGCGTTAAATATTGAATATCTACTTTCCGAGTAGTGTTGTGTTAAGCTTGAAGATTGTGAAGTCATGGTCCGATGCCACTACAAGAGTACAATAACACCAGAGACTCAAATTGAGAGAGGATATATCAGGTTCAAAACCATTTCTTAGTACTCCGTAACGGTAAATAAATTCCCTTAATCAATAGGGCTGATAGGTATCAGCCTCGCTTCAGACCAGATAATCACAATATCTAAGTCTACTTGAAGTGCCCATGCATCTGCGTCTCCTGATATTACTCGCTAGATTCTTACATCGTCAGCATTGGGGACTCAACTATACTTTGGGGTTCATTTACGTACACTATAAAAGTAAAGGGTCTAGAAGATAGCCTTGAGTTCACCAAGTACTGGTTTCTAGGTAGAGCACTCGAAATTTATGCTTACTTTCTGCCCATGACCAGCCAGGAATTCGTCAAGCCATTTTAGGAGAGGTCGGACAATGCCTATATTTTCCAGCATGAAGAGTAATTTGTTTGTTGGTACCTCATCAAATGCTTTGCTGAAGTCTATGTAGACAAAATTCACTGATTCTCCACTATCCAGAGCATTTATCCATCTCCATCTTGCTGTAAGGAGATTAATGTGCAAAATAAACTTTTCCTTAAACCATGTTGTTCTCCATGTTAACAAGTCGTTGGTGTACACGAATATCATTATGATCTGGAATATTCGTTCCAGTATTTTAACTACGACACTGGTGAGTCTGATAGGCTCGTAGTTTGGTGGAAATTGTCCAGATCCTGTCTTATGTATTGGGGTAACAACTGCATCCTTCCAGTCCGTAGGTAACACACCTTGGTCAACTGACATATTGAATATCACAGTAAGTGGGGCCGCAATATATTCTGCAATTTGTCTCAGGATTTCGAAGTTTAGTTAATCCAGCCCTATTGACTTTGCCGTGTCTAAAGTACTATGAGCCTTAAGTATATCCTTTTGATCAACGTCTGCGGTGAGTGAAAGGTTTGTCGACTTTCTATTTGGGTCTAGTTTTTCGTCTAGAAAAGGCGCCCGAGTAAAAACTGCCCAGAAATAGTTTGCAACAGCCTCTACTGTTTTATGATCATCCTTTATCATTTCAAATTTACTCCCATCCCTAATTAGGTTGGGAATCCAATGTTGCTTCCTCGTCACGTAATTTATGTACGGGAATTGTCTCTTAGGCTGACTGAATAGAGGTTGGGCTAACTGCTCTTCATATTTCGTCTGAGATTCCCGGATCTTAATTATACACTTATTTCGTAACAACCTGTAGAGTTCTACTCTACTTGCTGTCCCAGTGCTGATAACAATGTTTCGGAATTTCTTCTTTTGTCTTGGAAAACGTCTAATATCTCAGTTTATCCAAGGATGGCTGTAAAAACGTAGGTTGATTAGTTGAGCTTTTACTTCAAACAACTAGGTATACGTCATTCACTTCCCTTTTTCGTATAGGCATCATATTTCCTACTACCTTATACTGAATATTGGAAAGCTTTGTATGTTTGGACAGGTAACTTCTCGCTCCACTGTGGCTGTCTTACGAACTAAATAAGGACTATTCACTACTAGTCTGGTTTCTTAAATCAATAGAACGAGTGTTACCTAAAGGCATGAAAGGCCATGTTCTCCTTTGGGACTATTCAGGGTGTGAATGGTTGAGTTACTCGATTGAATAACTGCCGAACATGAGTTCACACGTCTTCTGCTGATGCCCCTGAATCAATTATACAGTTTTCGGTCGATGCTCCAGAGTTGATCTCCTTCATATCTGCCCTCCATATGTTAGAATGTGTCGGCGCAGTCATGAACTTGAATAGGATGACTATATTATCATTTCTCCTCAAGATTGGAGGAAAGTTAAGCAAGTGATGTCATTACCGTGAGCAAAGATTAGGTCCAAGAGAGATGAGTTTTGTGCGTCATACCTGGTGGGATCTATAATGCGCTGAAATAAGGCTAGGGTAATTATGGTTTCTACCCCTATTACACCGAGACTTAAGTTTGCTTAGCAGGAAGCCGTCTACTACACAATCTGCATTGTGGTATACCACAACTAGTTCAGCATCCTGCCGTCCATATTTCAGCCTGAAATGCACCACCCACACATCCCTAAATCTTGTGCCACTGTCTCAACTGCTCGTATGATCAAAGCACTTTTCGTTTACAGAATAACCATATCACCCCCACAGTTTAGTCTATCAGCCGTACTGGATAAAAAAAGCAATCAACTGAATTTTACTGTTAAACACTTCTGACGTTAACCATGTTTCTGAGACAACGAGGGTGTCAAGGTTTTCTATATCCACCACTGTCTCGAGCTCCGCCATTTTATTTAGTAGGCTACGAGCATTTGTGTAGTACATCTTTAATTATATGAAGATCTCTCCCTTACCATTCAGAGTGGATTAAGGATCGCTTTGCTTCGAATTTTCACAATTTGAAGACCCTTAAGTACGAGGTTTTTTCACTGTTTCGGCGGCGCTCGTTTATTAATACTTCTGCCAATCGTCTTTTAATAAGGTCAACTAGCTTAGATCCTCACGGACGTATATTCTGGACCCAATCGGTTCGCTTGAATTTCCCAACAACAGGTTTCTTTATTCAGTCGAGGCATGAACAACCTTTAAGACATGGATTTTCTGAGTACTTTCAGAATCCATTTTTTGTCCTGTTCTATAAAAATTACAGATGCTAGCTCCTTAAACTGTTTCTGAGGGTAGCTTGCTTATTAAGGACTTATTGTGGCTGAGATCGTCCCCAAATATACCCTTTGGTTCCTTTTCGGAGGATTCTCTTAACTTACGAAAAATGACTGCCCTATCAGTGAGGTCCATATTAACAAGTTGTGAAGGTATTTGCCTGAAATCTCGTCCCTGCAGTCTAATTTTGAGTCAGACACAAAAGTCTCACTGTTTCCTTACTTTTTGAGGAAAATTGTAAGCCAACCATTTACCATATTATGTCTCATGATCTCAACATATACACCGCTCAAGCTGTGCTCCTCATAGTCTGTTTTGCGATGATATATGAATCCGAAGCTTGAACCGTCGACTCACATATCTTAGAGCTGCCTATAATTCTTTTCTTCTCAGCGTACTTTTTCGTTTTTCTCGTAACCATGCTTACATCTGTGTTTGTTATCCGATTCTTTAATCAGGTCCATTTTAATGATTTCACTCAAGTCCATAGCTGAGCTCACGACAACGTTCGCTGTTTCCTCGAAAACTGTAATCTCATCTACTTCTGCCTGCTTATCTGAGGGCAGACTCCTAACTACGTTCAGCAAGTCAATTGCTTCAAGAATCGGCAGAGACTTTGCAGAGCATCATGATTTGCACAAACAACGTGATAGTGGGTTCCTGTGCCTTTTATGTCAAGCCTGTGTAAGATCGATGAAGACGTTGTGGTACCAATTTTTGTAGTTGTCACATTGTACACCACCCTCGACCGAAGAAGAGCATACTGGTCTACCACAACGAGGTTTCACTTGAGCCATTAAAGTTGTCAAGCGACCTCCCAGAGAGAACAGGAAAATGTCCCTTAATGAGCAAGAGGAATAAAGAAGCAGAAAAACTAATCTCTAGAGTAAGTACTTTTTAAGGCTTTAAAAGTGACAGACACTGAACACAAAAGCTGAGATGTGTGTGCTACCAACCTAAGTAAATACAAAAGCCTTTGAGATATTATCAATACTAAAAAGATTGACTCGACGAGGAAACAGTGAAATAGAACCTTATTGGTCCTTGGCAACTATGGATTTCCAGGGTTTCTTGAGTTGAAAGTTTTGTTGGCGTACAATGAATAGGTCAACAAATGACAAAACTCTACGATATTTAGAAGACTTATTCATCATAGGACATTTTGAATGGTGCTAATCTAGGGACGCTTATTTCAGCGGTAATTTGAGAATAATGAAGGTGAGGCTATTCAGAATTAACTCAAATAACTCAGAAACTTTTCACAACTAGCATAAATTCTCATGGCATCAGTGAAAAATCATTCGAGCTGCAAAATTGTAGATCATCATATGTGGCTGCTTTTGGGTAGTTCTTATGTTAGTTTTATTTTTACATTTTCAACAGTTTCAATCAATCAGTTGACATTTTTGATCGTCATGGTGAGAAGAAACTGGAAATACCTTTACCTGGGTAATTAAACCACCTTTTTACTAGCTATAGAGAGGCTATCTCCATGTCCTGGGATGCTGATGGTGACAATCTTGCTATCATCGATGATAAAACATCTTCCGCTACGTTATGGGATTCTCTTTCTTTCAAAATAAGCCAAATTCATACTGGAGTGAGGTAAATGTCTCAGAATCTAGGGACGTATCAGCAGAGATAACCTAACTGTTTTGTCTTGGTCTAAGGTAGGAAGTCGTTTAGCTATCGGGACAAGTAAAGGCAACCTTATCATATACAATCACAAGAATTTGAAGTGAGTTTTTCATGACCTGCTTATTGATAGAAAAACATCGCTTCTCGGAAAACATACCAGAAGAATAACATGTGCTGTGTGGAACAGAAACAACATTATAGCACTGGCAAGCGACGATAAAAGCATCACTATAAACTCTTCCGAAGGCGATTTAATTAAACACACCGTAATACATGATCAGCCTTTAAGTTTGGACTTTGGCCGGATGAAACTTGACGTTACCTCCGGAAGTGAAGACAATACAGTAAGTCAAGGTTTGACTCAGTCTTCAGTCTTCAGTAATAAGGATAGGAGGTCTGTCGACCTATATTAATCCTTGCAGTTTGTAATACTATGGAGGTCCAATCTCGTTTTGAATATATTAACAGATGGTGCTGATATTACGTGTTCCGGTAGAGAATTCCAGTAATTCACTACTCGGTGCGAGAAACGGAACTCCAAACGTAAACGGTTTGATCTCGGTTTTTGAACTTTCTTCGAATGTCCTCTCAAATGATCAGTCCTAGACGGAAGCAAAAGATAAGACATGTTAATACCAAGGTCATCGTTCAGTATACGATAGGCCAATATTAGATCACCCCTTATTCTACGGTAAGATAACGGAAATAAGTTAAGGTGTCTCAGTCTGTCTTCATAAGATAGGCCAGATAGACCTTGTACCATCTTAGTAGCTCGTCGTTGGACTCTTTCTAGCATATCTGCTTCATATTTGAAACAAGGACACGCTGCTTGAATCCCGTATTCTAAATGTGGTCGCACATAAATCGGGTATAGTAATCTAAACATTTCATCATCTAAATACTGGAAAGACCTACGAATTGACCATAATACCCTATAGCCTTTTGCAGCAGCAGCCTTACAGTGACTAGTCGTTTTGAGATCATTGCTTAATATGACTCCTAAATCTTTATAGTTTCTTACTTTGGGTAGCACGAATCCACGTAGTGTATAGTCATACGATTCATCAGAGTTATTTAACTGCATCACTACACTCTTATTAGGATTTACTTCTAGTGACCACCTATCTAACCATGCCACCAATGAGCTAAGATCGTCCTGTAATACTATCCTATCCGACATGCTATGTATGGGTCTCCAAATCTTTATGTCATCAGCGAAGAGTAGAACGGATGATTTTGCTACAGTTGGCAATTCATTTACATAAAGTAAAAAGAGAAGAGGACCCAGGATTGTACCTTGGGGAACCCCACTTTTTACAGGTACCCACGAGGAGAGAGCCCCATTAACCCTTACCCTTTGTCTCCTGTCATGGAGAAAGTTACTTATCCAATCGACGACTGTATAATGGATTCCAAAACGTTTCAGTTTGAATTTAAGACCAGAGTGGGAAACCTTATCAAAGGCTTTACTTAGATCTATGAAAATCACATCCACAGGAGCATTCCGATCCTTTGCCGCAGCCCAATCTTCTCGTGCAATGAGAAGATTTGTCAAGCAAGATAGGCCTTTCCGAAAACCATGTTGTTCCCTGGAGAAAAGATTTTGCCCTTCAACATAGTTTATAACAGCTATCCGAATGATTTTCTCCATCAGTTTTACAACTGCACTAGTTAAGCTAACGGGTCTATAGTTACTAACTAAATCCCTACTCCCAGCCTTATACACCGGACTTATTATGGCGTCTTTCCAGTCTCTAGGAAGTCTGGACTGTCTCAGAGACATGTCGAATAGTATCGCTAATGGTTCAGCAATTTCATCTGATATGGCTTTCATAATCCTAGGATGAATATCGTCAGGACCACTGGACTTATCAGGTTTGAGATGCTGGAGTAGCCTTAAAACAGTATCTTTCTCAATGACTACAGGATCCATCAGCGAGCCGTCACGGTCGCGACGAATCATTGGTCGTTCCTCATTACCGATAGAAAACACTTTACTAAAGTATTCCGATAAAGCTTCAGCTTTTTCGGCATCATTCTCTGCTAAGATTAACGGATTTTCTCGTATCAAAAGTGATGGAATTCCATCACTTCTCTTAGTTCGCCTTTTTATATACGAGAATAACCGTTTCGGACTATATCTAGAATCCCTAACCAACTGTTTTTCGTATGATAGTCTAGTTTTACTTATTAACGCTTTACAGGCATTCCTAATCTTACAGTAACTGGATCTGTATTGTTCTAAGCCAGTAGAGATGAACATATCCCAGTGATTCTTCCTTTTTCTAAGGAGTTTCCTGACCGTTTTAGTTATCCATGGTGGACTATTATTCGGTCTTCGCGGTACCAGGTATGGTATGAACGGGGACGTAACTAGTCTAAATTTACCTTTAAATACAGACCATGCTTCTTCAACTGATATGCTAGTATCTACTAACCAATCTGTCTTAGCAGCACATTCCTGAATGGCTGATATGTTAGCTTTCCATACATTTGGGCGAGGTGTAACCTGATCGTATAACATGTCCCTAGTTCGAAACGTGAATGACAAAACAGCGTGATCGCTGTTCACTAACGGCGGGAGAATATTTAAGTCGACAATATCCTCAGTCTCATGAGTGATTACCAAATCCAACAGAGAAGAACCCTGGTTAACACCAAAACGTGTGGGTTGGGATACATGCTGTACTAGTGCATGCTCCATTATTGTTATCAGGAACTTACTATCAAAGGAGTTTATAGATCCTTCTGTGGTCATATCAGTCCAACTAATATCAGGTGCGTTAAAGTCTCCTATTATCAAACATCTGGTATTTTCACTCCAAAGATGAATGTGCTCTAAAACAAAGTCATCAGCTAGGCAGATTGGGCTCCGATAGATGACACCTAGCATAAATGTACTACATCCTATAGCCAACTTACAGCTAATGACTTCACAAGTGCCGCTATCATGGGATTCGCTAATAGAGGAGCGGATATTTATGCTATTGGCTATGTATAACAGGACGCCGCCTCCTTTCCTACATCTATGTCTATCACTCCTGATGCAATGGTATCCGGATAATTCTGGAGTAATGTCTAAGTCATCGACTAACCAAGTTTCTGTCACTGCTACTATGAGTGGCTTTAACCTGTCCACTAGTGCTTCTAGTTCATAGAACTTATTTCGTAGACTACGAGCGTTGGCATATAAAACTCCTAAGTAGAACAGCCTATCCACACAGGCCTTGGTAGCATTCGCTTCCAAGACCTGACTATCCGAAAACCCACTAGCCGGAGATTTTCCTCGCCGTTTTGCCGACGGGTTTCAAGCTCAGCTAGTGCTTTCTTCCTTTTTATTCTATCTTCGAGAGATATGTCAGGTCTAACTCGGATGTCAGAATTGTCGTGACAACGAGCGCTACTTAACAAGAGATCCCGTTGCTTCTCCGATCCTAGGATTACCTTAAGGAGTCTGCATGGACGGGGTTCAACATTGTCCTCGGTCCTCTTGCCTATTCTTACCAACTTTTTAACCTGAACTCCTTTGGAGTTATCTGGTAAAATACTACGAATGTATTCTCCTAGCTTTTCACATTAAGTCAGTAGTTTTATATTTATGAGTATGTCTTACATTATGATTGTGGCTGTTCACCTATCATGCTAAGCACAAAAACTAATGTAGCTAATTAATGCAGTTGAATCACGTGCCTTCTCCACTGCTCATCACTTCGCTTCGCTCTCTGCTTTCGCTTCTCCAATCTTTTGTTTGGACCAGTGATTGTATGAAATATACGTATTCGAAATTCATTCTCGTATTTTATTTATTTAATTCCGTTATTCGCTAACGCGATTCAAGTTGATAACTATATACGAGGATACACGATATGTATTCCAATAACAATCAATCATACGACCTAATTGGAATCAGATATAGGGCGACTTAAGCTTATAAGTGGGTTCATTTACAAGTTATATGAATGAAACCTTAACTGGGCTATCATCCATTCAGCAGGAAGACGATAAAGACGAACTTATCTGTGTTCATTCTCTGAAGTCAAATAAACTTTTACGAAGAATTCTTTCAACCAACCACCTGGTGTGGTGTGTACTTTGATGAAAATCACTTTCACCACTATTTAAAGAAGTCACATTCGACGTACAAGCAGTCTTCAAGATATGGAAGGCTTATTTTAACATTACTTTCGTCCTTCGAGATGCTCAGTAGATATAAAAATAACATTTATTATAGCAAGGACAAAAGCAGGTGAATTTTAGATTTTCCTAACATAAAAACCTAAAAGCTCTGGTTGCAGACTTTGGCTTTTTATCTTAAATAAAACTTAGGGCTATCCATAAACCTGTTTATTGTTTGCAGTATGGCAAAAACATTACACTATCAATATAATGAATTAACTCTTCATAACAGTACCAATGGTTTAACTGTTTGTTCGTTACTACTCACTTCTGTTTGTATAGGTTAGTTGCATCATTGGTAAGAAGAAATTATTTTTGCTAAATCTGAACGATATGGAAAATCCATTGGAGCTGGCATTTCGTCAAGCCTATGGTGATATAATTGCATACCATTGGTTCGGTGATGGATACATTATGGTTGGATTTTCATGTGGTTACTTTGTTGTGATTTCCACACAGTCAAGTGAATTCGGAAAAGTAACACACTTTTTTCAAAAAATTAATGTAACAAATTGATGTTTATTTCTTTTTTTAAAGGAGATCTATCAAATTCGTGATCATAAAGATAGTTTACATGATATTTCAGTGTCTACGGTCTTAAATCGATGTGCAACTGTGGGAGATCGTTGGTAAGTTATGTGGATTTTTAAACATAAATTGTTTTCGAGTTACAGTACCCATAGATGATGCGCAATGCTAGATTCTGCCCTTGCCTAGTGTGATGTCACTTTTAGTAATTTAGACACTTCACTTTGTTCCTCAAGGCAATAAATACAACTAGTTAGAGTTTATACTCAACAGTTAACAGTCTTCAACCACAGTGCTACCAACCGATTTGCCGTTCGTCTTTACCTAAACCGTAAACATATTATTGTTTTTCATTTGTTTATCATCTCTCTACACATTTTACCCTCCTATGTTTTAACACATTTCCATTTTTGTCAAACGTCTTTTAACACACTACTACAAAGCATAATCATTTGAACTTATTCACTTTTGTACATGCCACTTTATTGGTTTTCGGTATATTTTGTCATGTTATCAACAAGCAACTTAATTCGGTGCTTTTTTGCTAAATTAATGCGTCATCTTAAAAAATTCCTTGCCAAAATTTCCTGTATACCCATCGAAGAGTAAATGTATATTTAGGCAGTAGTTTATGCTGCACTTCAATTGTTAGATATAACCATTAAAGCTGATGAGATATCTCTTAGTTAAATCTACTTGACAACATATGCCATAAAAACACTATGGAGGAAACACTAGGTGATCAGTTTTGAGATTAGATGTAAACGGTCTGGACGAAATTGATTCAGTTGGTCGGTTTGTGATACTTCAACTACTGGGATGTTTATTTATGGGGAGCCACAGCTTACTAAAGTTTATAGCACTATCTAAAGTAAGATAAGACTCTAAAATACCTGAGGATGTGTGGCATTTACACTAAGTGGTGATTCCTTTGTACTTGAATACGGACTTATCACGAATTTCAAATATCATGCGTCCAGTTGAGTTAGTCTATTTCTACCTGTCTTTAATTGCACTGGTTTGGAAATTCTCAGTAAGCATATCATTTAGATTACTTGTAATTATCATAGAGTAATCAAGAAAATATATGACGTTCGCCTTAAAAGTTTATTGTTGTTGATGTCAATCATGTAGATAGGTATAAAAACCCTGTAAATCTTCAAAATGTCACAAAAACAATGAATAGAGAGTTTAAATGATAAGTGGAAGTCATTTATCTAATGATTTTCTTATCCTTATTAATGTTAAATGTTAATTCCAGTCACTTTTATTAATTATTCGTCTAAATTGCTGCGAAAACATGACAAATCAAGCAAAATATTTTTTATGTAAGATATGATGTTGACAGATCTGTTTATTCATCTAGTTTGATAAGTTATTTATACATTAAACATGAACTCTTTGATACAGAAAAGATAAATTTTTATTCTTCAAAGTCATTTTTGAATTTATACAGTGAAAAACGGAATTTAGACGGATCATTATGATTGTTTTTATTGGTTCAGCCTAAATAACTAATACTTTGGTGTATATTAGTCACCTGTTTAAGAATATTAGGTGAATTCAATTAGGTATTTTAAAAATTATTATTAAGTGTTTAGTATATTTGAATTGCAACTAGCAGTGGAATTGAGGACAAGTGGTTCACATGATGAGAGGTCCCTCAACTGGATACATTTACATCTCAGTTATGATGTTCATACTGGGACTCACATTTTCACTAATAACACTTAAAACATCATATCCATTCAACAAGTTGGTAGTGGTCTTGACTCTGCGGCTCAATGGATAACGTGCTGACATTCAAAGAGAAAGGTACTGGGTTCGATTTCAAATCTGAACATTAACAACGAAAGACAGGCACATCCAGCTAACAAATCGCAAATAGGATGAGACGAGATTCTTAAGCCCCATCGATCACTAAATTCGACCTGTTCTGAAAAAGTCTGTTATGAAATTGCTATTTTCGAAGCAGTCTACAAAGTACCCACATGTATCAACGAAAAATGATCAAAAATTCAGTCATGAATGCCAACTATGGTATAATTCAACTGCTTACGAATAATTATATAAGCGATCTACGATTTTTTTTCTCTAATTTGTTTAGTGTCAAAATCCATGACCTCCAAAATATTCGTGAATTAACTGCAATTATTGAATTGGAGCAACAAGAAGAAGAACTGAATAGTTCAAATAATAAAAGCAATAATATGAGTACCGGAAGTATTGACAATAATCTATTGAAGTATCAGTTACAATGGTCAGATGATGGACAATTAATGGCTATTTGTACACCACAAAAACTTTTACATGTATTTCTAAGTCAATTACCATTGTTAGCTTCATTAGCTTCTCCAAATAGTACAAATCTATTGGCGAGATTAACTTCTTTGTTGGAGGTTACTGTGGAACCTATTCCAAATGCTAAGGTAATTACTATGTGTATAAGAACTTATTATTTATATGTTATATACTTTGAAAATTCAATTTGATTGGAATTAATAAGTTAACTAATTCATGAATTCTACGTTCTTCAAGGGATTTATGGTTTTTATTTCACTTATTTGCAGTTTTAAAAAGTTTGTATGAAGTCGCATGCACGTCAAATCTATTCCCTAACTCCTCTCTTATCTTTTTGCTTTTTGTACAATATTTACTACTCAATATTAGTAAGTAGCTTAACTTACAACTAGTCATAACGTAAGATTTCTTCGTGCCTCAACAGTACACATTTTCTAATTTGTTGATAATTCCATTTCACTGTTTGGGTTCATATTTTTAATTTTTAAAAGTATTTACCCTAATTTCGTCTTATCACGGTATTTTGACTTGAATTACTCTGTTTACCTATAATGAAGTACCTAGTCTAGGAGCGTAGTACCTGGTTTATTTACATTAACTGCTGATAATCTCTTTATCGTAATCAAACACTGTTTTATGATTTGTGCTAAACGGCGTAATATAAGTTTTGTTCACATACTTAAAGAATGTATTTTTCCATGCAAATTCTAAAGAGTGTTACATTTCATGATAATCTATTTGAATAACTGAAATAACCCAGGTAGTTGCAAAATAAAGATTCTATTTTCACAAACAAAAAATTAGAAACAAGGCTAAATCGTCAGTTTACAAAGTTTTGACATACAATATATGTTACTGAAACAACAGACTATTCATTCGTAACTGCAAATTAAATATCTAAGTAACCTAATCAATTGTTAAATATTCTAAGATAAAGTTTATGTACACACTGATTTTCCCTACAGTACTTATATGTATATATAATAAGATGATCAATCAATATAAGATGTTACATAATGTGACTTCTTGTTGTTACTATCTGGATCTGCTTGCAATTTATTTCTATAATAAAATCAGTTTCGTTTACAAGGTTCAATTCGTCTAAGTTGAACCCGATGCTAGTTAGGTGGTGAGTTCACACTGCGGAGTAGACCTCATATTTATCCACCTGAAGCCAGTTTATGACCTTTGAGCTTCAATTGGTTAAAAACAACAATTAGTTATGTTATACAGTTCACTTTTTCTGAAACTTAGCTAGCTATCCGAAAACAAGAAGTTCTGTTGCCAAAGTGTTTATGAATATGTACAGAAGTTATATATCCACAGTTACATTTTTCACTTACTATATAACCTTTTGATCTGTTCAGGATTCCCCAGCATATCTTTTTGCTCACTTGAAAAGTAAGTCTCTTTACTTGCGTCCACACGTTTTGACCAAGTTGGAAGGGGGGATTTATCAAAATCTTATCCAGAATATGATAATATTCGCCACATGTTTCTCTAATTACCCATCAGTTACAAATTGTTATGCCCCGATACGCATAATGAATGGTAACTTTTGGCAGCCATTTATGAACCGATACTATGTGTATATTTTTATCGTATAATCGTTATATAACTAAACTATACATATTCATGTTCCTCTTATTATGAGCCTTATTTTGACCTATGAACTATTATTATACGACTTACCATTCTTGAATTGAACTCTGTCTATTAATTACTACCTCCCTCATTCACAGCCACATTTGGCTGATTCTTGTACAAATGTTGTTTCATATTTTATGGTACGGCGTGGTCTATTTGATTTGTATATAAACCCCGTATTTTTGAAATAAATTATTCATATTGCAGAAGCTGAGATTGGTGTTCTGAACGTAAGTGGCTGGGCTAGGCGGGAAGCACGACCAATCAGGGCTCTAGGCTGCTCGTACAGGATTTACACATCATTGATCCGATCGGTAATTCACTGCTCTCTGATTGGCGGTATCATTACGTATACATTAACAGGGCACACAGGCCACAAGTTATAACACAAATAAGCTAGAATAAATATGGTTTGCAAATGGTTAGATATATAATAATACAAAGATAACTGGGAAGGTAATTATTTGTAAGTAAAGGACGATAAATTTTTTACAAAATATGGATAAAAAGAATAATTTCAAGCTTAGGTTATTCAACATTTGTACAATCCAGTATTCAGTATGATCCTTTTAAAGGTGTGGAACATAAAATGAAATTATTTACGCAAGCTGATAATATTAAGCATGTTTGGTTGAAAACATGAGTCTGAAATGAGTTAAGGGTTGGTAATTATTAGTGTTATGTAATGAAATGATAATGAATTTAATGATTAATTGTTTTCTATCAAACTACGTAATAAAAACTTATTAACTAAAAGGAAAATTTGCATTACCTATTCAAGTGGAAATCATCCAAGTATATTTATAAAGAAATAGAAAGAGTGCAACTAATTGATCATTAAATGATGATATACTTTACGCTTAATGATACAAAATCATAATAAACTAACCAACATAACAACAGCATAAAACAAGAATGAAAGTTGACAAATTTCTAACTTACTAATCAAATGTTGATATTGTCAAGATCGAATTAAACAGATCTCAATCAGAATGTCTTACAAGAATAGATCAAAGTAGATTAGTTTGAAATATGATTCTTCACATAACTTGATTGTACATAAGTAACTATTTTATCAATAGGTCATAACATTTTTTTATATTACTCGTTATCGATATTTTATCCTTATACTTTCAGCAAATAGCTGACTTACCTGAACTATATCGTTCATCGTATTTATTAAAAATTGAAACGGAACCAACGTTTATTGGTCTTGGACAAAAATATCTATCTGTAGGGATAAATAATCATGCTTGGTTTTATGAATTGACCAAATCAGGTATGTGTACTTTTTCGTACATACACTTTTAAAATGTTTATTCATTAATTCATTCTTACATGCTTGACTATATTTGGGGCATTAATATGTAGATCAATCAAAAAGAACATAATTTCATCTATGGTATTATTTCATCTAATTGGTTTTTCCACAAAATTAAACAAAACAAGAACAGTTTTCGAAGAATTGCACTTGGATTGATTGATTGATCACTAAATAGTGACGAATGTCATGTTTTCCAAGCCAATGACGCTGATCGGATTCTATCGATCAAGTCTTAATGTGTCCATTATTCTCAGTGACTCAACATCACTTGCATATGTTTCGATGTTAGGTGCTGAATGTACTCGACAAAATACACTGAATCTAGATCTCGAACTAGATGACATTCATCAGTAAGCTATGCCTTCGGCCTTATGGAAATTGATACTTCTAATGAGATTCAAACCAGCTAGATGAAACAGACGACATAGGGCTGGGTATATCTGTTCGAACAGACTGAGGCTAAGTGACCCGGGTTCGAATTACCAGCAATCATTATTGCTCTAGAAGTATGCTTTGCTGATGAGTACCAAGTGATGCGAAATCTAGGTTCATGGTTTCTTGCCAAGTACTTCTAACCACCTAAAATTGACATATATGTATTTGGAAAAAGTAGCTAGAATCGAACAAATGAAAATATAACGTCAATCCCTCAAGTAATTGACTATTGAACTGGTTTGTACACACGAGGTACAAACTCGGTCAGGATTCATGCGATAATTGTAATATGTAACTGGATCCGTTGAAGTGATTATTCGTAAACTAATGAGATGAAATGAAGCGGTTATATGGTTAGTTTTAGATCTTTTGTGAATATTTATGTGTTAGTTATTAGCCTTCATAATCTTTGTCACTCAATAACTTAATCAACAGAAATCGTGTTAATATCGGAATATGATTATTTGACTACTGTGGATCGAATAAGCTTGAATGAAAATTATGCTGCAGCTGTGGACCAGATGGAAAACTTACATTACACTGGGTGAGTATAAATTTAAAAAGGATTATTATACTTACTGATTGTTCAATGTTGATTTGTTCAAGAACTCTGTAAATGTAGATGAAAATGCTATTGAAGATAAATGTGATCAGCAAAGTTTGTAATCTGTCAGTCTGATTGACATAAATGTATACTGATTAGTCTTAAATAACTCTTTAGGAATTCAGTGCAGCTAACTACCTGATACAGCTGTCTTGAGCTATCCTTTACCATCATCCTCTTCTCTGTGTATAGCTCTTCAACCCAATTTGTCGGATTTAAAAGTATTGACAAATAATACATACATATATTTTAAAACAACATCCCGAGTACGTGTATAGGTGCAAAGATAAACACTTTCATAAGAAACACTTAGAAAACGGGTAATAAATACAAAGCTAATAAACGGAAGAATTCCATTGTTTTCTGAAAACTGTGATTTCTTCTATAGAATTTAAGAACTGATTGCATCTCATATGAGTTTGCATAATAATCAAGGGGTTAAAGAAGAATAGGAGGATCATCACATTAATGTGATGTCCTTCAAAACACCAAAAATATATATAATATCCGAAATTAATTATTACGCATTGGTACTTATGTGATTATTTCAACACTCAAATTTCGTGGTTCTATTAGCTATTGAATCATTGATAAGGAGTCAATTACTTCGGCGTATAGACCATTTCACCTATCTTGGTGGCCTCACCATTACTAATGATCTGGTGTTTGATGAAACAACAGGACTTTCTCAAGTTGTATAAATTTCGGTGTAGATAAGATATACATCTGCCAACAGAATAATGACTTTAATTATCAACAGTTCTCTTCTTTCTACTTTATAGGTATGAAGCATATTCATTAAGAATAGAGGATATTCGTACGTTACTAGTACTGGATTACAGAAGTTTCCGAATCCTCACTCGTGTGTTTCAATACCATCAAGTGAGCGATTCCGGGGCCAGGCATAGGATACTAGGTAAATACAGCAAATCGGTTGACGAGGTGGCAAATCTTCCTCAACTGGGCCCATTGACTACTTCGACGAGTGATATCTGATTTAGTAGTATACTGAAGAAAAGCTTTGGACGATCAAACGAAGATGTGGCATCAGTTTACGAAGATATTGACGATCGGACTGAGCCGTGCTAATAGATGTAGACTACCTGATCAGGGTCCATTTTAATTGTCATAACTAATTGTTAGAGGTTCATTCATTCCTTTCTCTAGAATATGAGTCTTGAAATCTCCCTACAGCTTTTATTTCTAAATTTAAACTTTTATACTATTATTGTTGCAACTACTACTATTACTACTAATAATACTAGTACCATGGAATTGCCTTAGAACAAATTCATATCGCTTTACTAATTTCGTATGGCAACATAAACCGATGTACATGCGTCAGGCTGTACATTTTATATTACTGGCAGACTAACTTTCTTTACAGAAATTTACAAATTTTCGGCGTAGAACATATGAGTGTTATGTAATCTTCGATGAAACGATCATAATCATAATTCGATTGTCTTCTACAAACTAAATCCCACCATACAACCTCTCAACGCACTATAGACCTAAATAGAAACATTGGCCACTACTTAAAACTGAAGACACAGTTGATGTGTAGTACCAAATTAACATAACTTTTCAACGAATCCATGTATTCATACACTATGCTTACAGGGCTTATGACTGTTATAATTAGTACATTTCATCAATACTACTGTATTGTAAAATAATATCACATCTGATCATACATTTTATATTCATTTTGTGCTTCACATTATTACTGATCTTGTCATAAATGTTCAGTCTAAACAACCTAAGGAATAATAAATTTTCAGATGTTACACCCTTATTCTTGTCAAAATGTTCTCTCTTCTACTTTAATATGATCATTGTAGTAAATTGGTCTGCATTCTGTAATCATTTATAACGTACCTTATTAATCCTATAATTATTATTTCATTATTCGTTAGATAAATCCCAAAACGTTTCCTGACAAATCAGATATGGCAAAAAGTCAAAATAAATTAAACAAAACTTTACGAAATGATGATACCAACCATTTATCACGTGAATCTTGTATATTTCCACAGTCAACTTCATTTGATTTAAAGATTACATCGTTTAAATTAACTAATGATTTTCTAATTTATTCAACAAATGTAAGTAACTTCATTTATATACGTATATATATTGAAATCTGAAAATGATCCAATGTACAAGCATTCAGTTCATACATGATCATGAATGTACACTGCTAATAGTTTGATAGCTTTGTAGTATCTATTCAATTCATGTCTATTCTAAATGAAACTTACGATCAAATAACTTATAGAGTTAATTTGGAGTTTGGAATCCTACATTTTATGAGTGTATACGTGATGATAAAGAGCTGGTTAGCTTCTATTAGTAGTAATTAATGACCGCTTCTTGGGTTTGTTAGATTTCGCAGTAAACATATTACTTAATTGATAGTTTAAATCCTAATAGTTGAAACTTGCCTATCGTATAAAGCTATAGAAAGCTATGGAAAACCAGGAAATCTGGGATAGTTATTTGTTCTTAGTATGAAGTTCTATAGCATTAAATCTCCATGATGCCACCAGCAATCGAATCTAAGGTTTTCAAGCCACTCGATGGTCATCACAACCCCAAACTACTGAGTTGATATCTAATGATTTAAACTCTTAACCTCAGTTAACTCTCCCTATTGGCTACCATGATTAATTATTATTGGTAATATTTATCCCATATCTGATTTGGTTGAACCCCACTGGTTGCGGTTTCTTATTAAAGGACATTAAGACTCTTGTTCAAATTGATACAAAGTATATCTATAAACAACTAAATGCGTTCCAAAGTATTTTTTATACGTGGTTGGAATGGCATAAGAATACGTAAAACTTATCAAGGATTCTGACTTCTTGATGGTAAATGACTACACCTTTAGAAACGAGGAAGGGATTAACGACGAGTTTTCATACAACAAAGTGTGTAAGTCAATTTGTTATTCGAAATATGGAATTATAATGAAGTAACCAACAGAACATACTCATGTTCTACGGGAAGCCAGGGTGTAAGCACAAAAGCAATCAGTATCAAACGTCGTGCTGCTCCTTCAACATAAGTGGTATATTAAATCGTAGCCAAGGAATCTGCCAGTCTGACTCCAGATCAACTTCCAGATATAGTTTGAGTAATGATGTAAAAGTGAAGCAGTCTAAATGAATTGAAAGTCGAACAATTTATTATAGGGGTCCAGCAATGGCATACAAAAATGTACTAGGGAGTAAGATTATTCACTAAACTAGTTGTAAATATTGGAGTAGATCAATACTAGACGATTCACGTGAATAAAACGTAATTTGAACCTGGGAACTTAAACATACTCAAATGTCTTTTTAGAAATTTACAGATGTAAATAACATTCATAACTACACCAAACTATTAAATCACTATTTGAGTGCTCGCTCTTAAGCAAGTTGTCCTTAATAAAACTTGCCTTAATTTATGTGCTCTCTTTGGCATGCGCCCTCACTGAATGATACCAATCATAACTCTGTGTTCAAGAGGATATATTACAAAAATCCCAGTTAATAGTAGTAACTGCTTTGAATTCTCAATACATGTTTGTATTAGTTTCTATGACGTTTTAATTAAATGATGTTATTGTCGAATTCAAGCAATGATATAAAAGAGTGGACAATTTTCTCACTGTATATTGGATAATTTGTTTCTGGTTAGCGTTTTAGTTTTTTACGGGATGGGGCAGCCAACTCTATGCCCAACCCTCCTCCTTTATCCGGGCCTGGGACCGGCAGTAGCCCCCGGAGGGGCTCCATGCGGAGTTCTCATTGTATATTACACTTCATTAATTTTTGTTCATTTCTCAACATAAAACTTATAAATTTAGTTTTGTTACTCTTACAGCATGGTGAAATATTTCATTTCAATATTTCGAATTGGAATTATGCGAATAATTATCAACATAATTGTTCTATACTTCATATTTTTCCTAATGCAATTGGAACACGTGTAGCATTTGTCGATGAGAAAGGTTTGGCTTTTATTTATAATCCAGTAAGTTTCTTTTGTATTTTGGCAATAAATTAAGGAATCTAAATTGTTGAAAGAGGGTTCTATTACATGTTTTTCGGATTATTAATATTCAATTTTCTACTGATTTCAAGACGAAACTCCATTCGCTGGTCATAAGTTACCTTCAGTTTTAATAGTAAGGGTTTGTACCTTCTTTTTGTTGATGTTAATGACTGAAAATGATCTGTCTTCACAGGCAATATAGGGCGTCCTGAGTTAATTACCTTGATATTTCCGTTTAATCAGGAAGTTTTATTAAACATTTTTTAAATTAACGTCAACAAAGAAAAAATACCAATCCCCATAAATAGAAATCATAAGGAATGGATAACGTGTTAGTTTTTGAACAGAATGATAGTGGATTTAATTCTCAATTTGGTCACCTTTACTTTGTCTTTTTATCTAAAATTACTGCATTTTTTGCATCGGATGACTAGCCAACGGCTAGTAATGATTAAAACCAGACCTGGATATGTACTGCTGGGAAGTCTCATATTATGGTGTCCAGTACTTTGAGATTTTCAATGGTAGTCTAACTTAGATGGGTTCACGATTTCAGTGAAATTCAACAATCTCCACAATTCTATACTGAAAATACAAAAATGATGATATTCAATAATAATATCAGTATTGAATAGACAAAGTTGTGGATAGAATTGTATAATCTTTCTATACAAGTCCAAGATTGCTAATCTGTTAAATGCTGTTAATTTCTATCTGGAAAATGTATATTACTTTCAGAACCGAAATATGTAGATAATTTCAAATGAATTTCCGGAAACTTGGTTTTATCAGAATTGATTATGTTGTAACGCGTGTGGGACTGCAGGTTATGCTAGACAGCGTTTATATCGATCGATTACAGTAGACACGGAAAACACGTATGGACGACCTTGTGCCCTGATTGGTCCCGCTTCGCAGTCTGTCCCAGCCAGTTGAGTGAAGAACGCAAGTCACAGCCTCTGAGTTATGAATCGTTGTATTTCAGACATACTTTGTTTATATACCAATCAAGCACACCACATCGTACCATAAAATAGGAAACAACATTTACAAAATATTTAACAAGTGAAATAAACATCGACCAATAAGAAATGTACATTTAAGGTCCAAGGACACCATAGACTTAACACGATAATTATTGGTATATTTTTCCGACTATCCTAACACCTCCCCTTTTTTGAAAGATCCGGAGTTAATATCTGGACTTTAAAATTTTCTGCGTCCGTCCTCCCCCGCGAAATAACGTTGGGTCCTCATATACCCAAGCAACAATCAGTCTGATTCTATTTAAAGCATATTTCGCGCATTGAGTAGAGGGTTCACTAAAACTGACTAGATGATAAGGATTAGCGACACCAGACATGACGTCATTAAGGTTTGGTTTTTGTGCAACATATCCTTCAGACCTCTTCAAAATGCGATCACTGGATAATAGGTCACTAAAACAAACAGCATCTTTGAAATTCATATCAGATTTCTGACCATCATTTGATGCACGGGAAACATTTTCTGGCACGAGAGGTTCTTCTTGTAAGCTGGATACCTCACATGTTTCAGGCACAGTGGGATTTGAACCCACAACAGGGCATACTTCTGAATTGGACAATTCTGGATCTCTGGATGGATCATGGGCGACTGCCTCGTTTGCATTACTGATCGTGAGGGATTCATAGAGGCTTTTGTTTTCATCTTCATATGTCCTGCAGTCATTCTCGAGTTCAGTATGCAGGTGAGAAATTAATTCGTCAACCTCTTTCACATCTCCGAAACACGGGAGATTTAGCAGTCACGTGCGCATATAGTCCAAAACATTCAACTGGCTCTCTCTGTAACGATCTAGTAGTATCTGCAATTGATCGGAGGGGATAGTCATTTTCTGAATCAGCAGAGTAATGAGAAATACTGTAATCAACTAACAACCAATGACTCCCAAGGACGCCGACAACAAATCTGGATACTGATTGGTCAGAACAAATATACTGAATCTCGTCCAATTACAGGGTTCAAAATTCTCTCTACCCCGTCGCCAATTGTTGTAACGCGAGTGTGAGACTGCAGGTTCTGATAAGCAGCGTATTTATCGACCGCCTGTACAGTGGACACGTAAACACGGACGGACGACCTTGTGCCCTGATTGGTCCCGCTTCGCAGTCTGTCCCAGCCAGTTGAGTGAAGAACGCAAGTCACAGCCTCTGAGTTATGAATCGTTGTATTTCAGACATACTTTGTTTATATACCAATCAAGCACACCACATCGTACCATAAAATAGGAAACAACATTTACAAAATATTTAACAAGTGAAATAAACATCGACCAATAAGAAATGTACATTTAAGGTCCAAGGACACCATAGACTTAACACGATAATTATTGGTATATTTTTCCGACTATCCTAACAGATTACATATTTGATTTACTATATCTTCTCAATAACTAGATTAAATAATCCTTATAATAAGCACTTAAAATGAGTATATTAGTGTAATCGAAGCAATGAGATTAGTGACAGCCAGTCGACTTACTGACATATATTGAATTTATCATAAGTGTTAGCTTTTCCTAGTTTCTTCATGAGTCACTTCCCAACTAAAGAAAAGTTGAAAAGAAGGAAGTCTTTTAGAAGCAAGTTCTCATTCTCTATTCTCAAATACTTTTCTTTATAACTCACAAACTATTATTATTATTAGGGATTAAGTCTTGATTCACTTGTAAGAACTAATGATTATGTGTACAACCTCACATAGTGATTTTCTAAAAAGAAACACAATGTCTTTGATGGAGTTTTGTTCTCTCAGCTGGATGGTTTGGTTGTGGAGCTTTCATCGTTCTTCCGAACGACATCATTAGCACAAACTTTGAGTAGAAGTGAAGTATTCCTGATTAGGCACAGAAACTATGATTGGAGAAGAAAGAATGAATTAGTGAAATATAAAGTGCGAAAACAATTTCATAACTCAGAATATAACTGAAGACAAAGAATGAATACATCTATGTCATTGAGACTGATTCTGAACCATGTTTTACAACATTTTGAAATACACATTTATGATAATACCATAGACTACAATCAGCTAGTGTGCCTATAAGTCATGGCAGATGTGTATAACTTCATGGACAAATTCTTTTTAGTGGTTAAAATACCCTCAGCTTTCCTTACTCTACTTGAACATCAGTCAATATCACGGGTTAACAGTAGCACACTGTCACTTTTAATTATAGTTGGTTATATGTTCTATATTTTCGTTTCTATCTGATGATTCGTTTACATTTGATAATAAAAAAAGCTGATCTATTTATAGCAGATTACTTCCCTATGATATAAACACTTAATTCTAATTCTAATTCATTCATTCTTTTATTTTAATCAAGGCTAATGGTCAACTCATAGAAATTCCAGAATTTTGCCCCTCAATAAATAATATTTTATGGGATTTAGAAGATACAGAAAATGTAAGTTACCAGTCGATATTTTTTAAAAGTTACCAATATTATTTTATAGAATTACACTTACTTACACAACTCTCTAGCATTAGAACAAAGAATAAAATATTACTGAGGCATGTTCAATTTAGGAATAAATTATTTGTGGACACATGAAGAGAACACATTGATGAGTCCATCATTGACAGCTTATCCATGACTCATTTAAAGTGGTATTCTAATTTATAGGTTATATTCGTCACAGACTGATCTCATTTGAGGTAACATTAAAAACCAGATAGTCCAACAGCAGGACGAAACAACCGTCCAGTGTTTTCGGGTTTTCCATGTTGGTCTAGCTTCAATTGACTCATGATCTTAACTAATAGAATTTTATATTCAATAATCTCAGTGATTTAAGAATTACATACCATTAATGTTTCACCTAACAGTCTGATCCAAACTTCTTCAAGGGGATAAAATATAAGTTAAATTTTATGATAACTAAAACTTTGACAATCCTTTTGAATCCATGATAATTCCTTAAAGAGACTTAAAACTAGTTCAGACGACTGTTAATAATAATAACTTGGTGATTTCACATTTTTCCTCTCACTAAATACATCATTTCATGACATTAGTTTTTATTATCAAAGTAACATTTTATTTATTTTCAGTGTAACATTTGACATTGGTATTAATATTAAACTATATATTTTAATTAGTATAATATTGAACAAAGACGAATGGTGGCTAGTAGTGCAATCCATGACACGCGTTCCATCCAATTTGAGACTCGTCAGTTGGAAGTACGAAACTCATATCCTGGATTCCACTGCTAGCCACCATCCTTCTTTGCTTATAATACTTGTGACTTAAGGCAATATCGAGGCAATTCACACAGGAATGCCTATATACCAATAAGAAACTGAGCGTTTGCAGCCCTAAATATCAATGGAAAGATTCAAACAAACAAAAAATGAGTATAACATTGAGTTTTTCAGTGTAATATTATTAGGTCAAAATGTTTCGTATTAACTCGGTATAAATTTTCGTTCGGTATGATAGACGTGAACTTTGCTTAGTATGAAAACTATATTTTTTTAAAATATAATTCTCTGTCAACTTTGCGTTTACATTAGGCCTATGTGTCGTTAAACTTATATGGTGTTTATTAACTTATTATAAAATTCATATAACATCAGTATAAACAGTTTAACAGCTTTTTTTGTTTTGTATATTACGATTGATCGTTAGAATTTAATCATCACTAAAAAACTGGGCAAACATAACAATGGTCACAATATTCAGTGATTAACCATGATAAATAACGTAGCCATATAGGACGCTAGTCCTGACAGGAATAGCCTAGCGATAATGTCCCAGACTGTGAACCTGGATAACTTAGGTTAGAATCCTTCGAAGAGTATCAATTCCATCAATATTCCAGGTACAATCTGTTAATAAGCGCCAAATAACATGAGTCCTAGGTTCTGGATTTCCTATTGATTCCCTCCAGTCAACCAGTATAATATCTTTATCTCTTTATCCTCTTGTATATTAAACCGTTACTGTTCATATATCTGACCTTTTACTTTTTCAAGAAGTCCATATATGATCAGATTTTCGTTAAAAATAATTGAGCTGAACACACTACACACTTAATACTCTTCTAATACTTTCTAAAGAATAGAAATATCATACTTTCTCTAATTGATTCGACTTAGAATTACAATTGAAAGTTTACGACATTAATTGTTCTCCTTTTTTGAATACTCAAATGAAATTCAAACCTTTTTTCATGATGTTGTGGTGGTCGGTATTCGATATATCCCTTAAACTTCGTATACAATTCGTCTTGATAACCGTCCTATTCAACCCCAACGGTATATTATTCAGAAGGCTAATACGAAGCGTTGATTACGTTTATTTCGAGACCACACACATATATCCAAATGTACAGATGTGTTAAACAAGCATAGGAGAGTTGTGCCGAAAGGCAAGCAAGCGAACGAGAGCCAGAGCAAGAGCGTGACGAGACCGTGCGAGCGAGTGAGCGATTGTGTGTTCAATATGAATAACATGGACATATATATACCATGTGAAATGAATGAGTAATCGAATCGAATAAGCGGTTAGTAGTAAGACTAGCAGAGTGAATAAATGCGTAGGCAGTAATCAATATTCAAGCATACGTATTTCATACAAGCGCAAAATAATAATAAGGATACAATAAATTGTTATAGCGCGGATGGCTTTGTCCGCTAAATAAGTTAACAAAAGGGCTTAACTGGGTTAAATGAAAATAAACCCATTTGCACGTGAGTCGCTATAATAGCTCCCCCCTGCAAACAAAGATATATGGAAAATGTCTGTGTTTGCATAAAAAAAATAGTAGACTGAATAGGGTAGAAAAATGGCTTATACAAAATTAAGATGAAGTTAGTGTGTGCTGTACATTTGGTTTGCGCCCGTCCGTGAGGTTACATAAAATAATAGCAAGAAATAGAAGGAATGTGGTATTGTCTTTACATTTTAAACAAAAATTATACGCATAAGTGTAAGGGTACATAAGATACGTTGAGTTTTATAGCGTATAACACGAGCTTAATAATGCATGTGTATACAATGAGGTAGAAGTTATAATTAATATTTAAAATAGTAGATCATTATTAAAAAATCGTAGCAACATATTGTTGGGGCCATCTTACTCTGCGGCCGGATCTTGTTGTTATCTGAGTCTTGTCTTTTTGTTGCGTTAACGTCGTTGATTTTTGGGACTCGTGTTTCGCTGGTGTGACCATCTTAGATGAGTCTGTACTTGTTGATTGATTATCACTATCGATGAAAGCTGGCTTTACTCGATCGATGCTAATTACATCTGTCTTCCCAGCTTTTTCTATGGTAACCGTTTTATTTGTCCTCTCTATCACTTTAAATGGGCCGTCGTAACTCGGTTGAAGAGGTGGTTGTACTTTATCTCTTCTAATGAATACGTGAGTGCTGCTATGTAGTTCCTGTGGTATGAATACTCGTCGTTGTTGTGGTCTGGGAGGTGTTATTTTTAAATCGCTCATGTGCTTTCTCAGGCGTTGCACATAGCCGGTTACATCAGTCGGGACACTTTTACTTGGAGTGAAAAATTCTCCGGGTAACCGTAGAGTAGTTCCGTAAACTAACTCGGCTGGACAACATCCCATGTCTTGTTTAATTGTTGCTCTTAGAGCTAACATTACTAGGGAAGTTTATTAGACCAATCGTTGTTAACGATGACGGCTGTAAGGGACGCTTTTAATTGCCTATGTAGGCGTTCGACCATTCCGTTTGCCATTGGATGGTACGATGTCGTTCGGATTCGTTTAATACCGAGGAGTTCTGTAAGCTGCTGAAAGAGTCGACTTTCGAATTGTGCTCCTCTATCAGTTGTGATAATCGTTGGTACACCGTAGTAAGAAATCCAATTTTCAACTAGGGTTTTAGCTACCGTTTCAGCTGAGGTGTCTTTTATCGGTACTGCTACCGGCCATCGTGTAAACCTGTCGATGCATGTAAAGATATAGTTGTATCCATTTGAAACGGGCAGTGGTCCTACAATATCGATGTGTATATGTTCAAATCTAGTGTCTGGGTGCGAAAACGGACCTACTGCCGAGCTAGTATGACGATGTACCTTAACTTTTTGGCACTTCATGCATGCCTGTGTCCAATTACGTACATCGTGATTCATGTTTGTCCATACGAATCGTTCACTAATCAGCTTTATCGTGGCTTTTATTCCTGGGTGTGACATGTTGTGCATGCTTTCGAATATTTTGTGTCGCAACGTTTTCGGGATAAATGGTCGCGGTCGGCCTGTTGATGTATCGCAAATTACTTTCGTGTTACCAAACCGCACCTCTTCGAGTACTAATGATGTTGAACCACCGGATCTGAGTTTATTTAACTCGATGTCTCTCTCCTGCAACTTTGCTAGACCGTTATAATCAATTCCACTTGCCATAAGTGTGCTTATCGTTGCTCGTGACAATGCGTCGGCCACATCGTTTTCTTGTCCTTTAACGTACTGTATGTCGGACGTGAACTGTGAAATGAACTCCAGTTGTCGGATCTCTCTCGGAGAATAATTGTCTTGCTTTGCACTTAACGCTTTCGTTAGTGGTTTATGGTCTGTATAGACGGTAAAATTTATGCCTTCGACCATATGACGGAAGTGTTTTATTGCTAAGTAGATTGCTAATAATTCTCTTCCAAACGTACTATATCTCGTTTGGGTAGGATTTAATCTTTTCGAGAAAAATGAAAGTGGCTCCCATACACCGTTTACTAACTGCTGCAAAACGGCTCCTACTGCTAAGTTCGATGCGTCTGTCATGACTGCTAATGGTGCTTCGTTCTTTCGTCGTACTAACATCATCTTCTCGTTTAGCGCTCGCTTAGCGTTCTCAAAAGCCTGTATAGCATCCGCTGAAAGACGGAATGTTCGAGTATGTCCTCGCAAGGCGTCCGTCAATGGCTGTAATATTGCTGCGCAGTTTGGGATAAATCGTCTATAATAGTTTATTAGCCCCAAGAATCGTCGTAATTTTCTTTGTGAATCGGGCAACGGATAATTACGAATAGCAGCAACTTCTGTCGGAACTGGCATGATACCATGTGAATTTATCATATGACCTAGGAATTGCAATGATTCCTTTCCAAATTCACACTTTTCCACGTTAATAGTGACGCCATGTTCTTGAAGTTTCGTAAACAACTGTCGTAGATGTTGTAGATGTTCTTCCCTGGTAGCGCTAGCTACTAGTATATCATCGATATATGCGTGAACTCCTGTCAAACCCCTGACGACCTGATCGATGAATCTTTGGAAGGTTTGGGCTGCATTAGTTAATCCGAAGGGCATTCGCAAAAACTCGAATAACCCAAATGGAGTAGTTATAGCCGTTTTAGATATATCTTCTGCCGCTACGGGAATATGGTAATAAGCTCGAACGAGATCGATTTTCGAAAATATCGTGGCACCTTCCATATTGGTAGTAATGTCGTGGATATGTGGTATCGGATATCTGTCTGCTATCGTTTGCTTGTTAAGGGCTCTATAGTCTCCGCATGGCCTGATTTCCCCATTCTTCTTCGAAACCATATGCAATGGGGACGCCCAGGGACTATTAGAAGGTCTTATGATACCAAGCTTCGTCAACTTTTCGAACTCTCGTTTCGCGACATTCAACCTTTTCGGGTCTAGCCTTCGTGGTCTTGATTTAGTCGGTGGACCTTTCGTTATAATATGGTGCTGTACCGTATGTTTAAGATCTCTGTTATCGTATGATACCTTCGTCAGATCGGCATACTCGTTTAGAAGCGATCTATATGGCTCGCTTTTGTCTTTTGACACTACTAAATTCATGGATGTGTGATCAGTCGTCACTCCTCTTATCACTACTGAATGGTCGCCGTTCACGAGCCGGTTTCGTCGGGTATCCACTAGTAAGTCGAAATTCTTTAAGAAATCAATACCAATTATAGGTACGGATACATCTGCGATAATGAATTCCCAGCGGAATGAGGTAGTACGACCAAAATTCAGGGTTACTTTTCGCTTGCCATATGTTTTTATATCGGATTTATTTGCTGCCTTAAGCGTTAGCGCTGTATCGATATTTCGTGTTTCGTTACTTACTGGAGGCACGACGCTTACTTCTGCTCCCGTATCGACTAAGAATTGAGCGCCTGTTACTCTATCCTGCACGTAAAATAAACGACTGTTTCTAGGAGCTGTTGTAGTTGTTGCGGCGGTTATCGACAATCGGTGTGGTCGTTTGAACTTACATGGTGGTCTACAGTTTCGAGCTTTATCGCCGAAAGTTTGGTGGTACCAACATATTGTAGGAGCTGAGCGTCTCCTAGAACGTGATCGACTTCTTTCCCTCAATCTACTTTGTGACCATCCTCTTTGCGTATCGCTCTGATTTAGTTTCGTCAGTTTGTGGCATAAAACATTAATCTCCTTTTGTAATGCATCGATTCGTCCATCTACTGTGGTACTATGCCTTTGCGGACTCGTTTGTTTCATTCTCTCATAAATCCTATCGGCTATTTTAGCAATGTTGTCTATATCGACATCGCTGTCCTCAACCGCAAGGATCTGCTGCACGTTCGCTGGAAGTCGTCGTAACCACAACTGATAAAATATGTTTTTATCTACTTTTCTGTCATCGATTATGCTTCTCATATAGTTTTTTAGTTGAGATGGAGTCCTATCTCCTATCTGCACTTGACTGAGAAGTTGTTCGATGGCTTGCCGGTCGCTTAATGAGACGGCTTTAATCACTGCCTGTTTTAATGCGTCGTATGGCTTTTCTATGTCTGGCTTGATTAAAATCTCTCGTACATTATCTGCTACTTCATCTGGAAGTAGCGAGCTCGCGTGGCCAAATTTATCTCGCTGTGTATGAACACGATTAGCTACAAAGTAATGTTCAAGTCTGGTAAACCAAAGTTGAGGATCTGTGACCTTAAAAGGAGGAATAGTTACATTAATGGACCTCACGGACGGCGTTTGGGAAAGTTCTATTGTATCGTTACTTAAAGACATATTCATAAAGATCAAAAATTACACAAATATAATGCGAATGTCACAGAGAAAAGTGAGTCGATAAAAACAATGATAAAAACAAATGGTACAATTTATAACAAAGAACGGACTTACTAAATTGCACCAAAATATCAATTGTTTGTAAAATATCGTTGTTTATTATGAATATTATCGTTATGTTCAATAATGTTTGTGAGATAATGTACGTGTAATTAAAATAATGAGATAATAAATCCACAGTTATAATTATAATCCAAATGATAGTTACAATTGTAATCGAGTACGTTAGATTTTAGGAATTGGATTACGTCGTTGAAGATTGTTTCGTGTTCGCGCGTCGGGATCGCCAATTATGTGGTGGTCGGTATTCGATATATCCCTTAAACTTCGTATACAATTCGTCTTGATAACCGTCCTATTCAACCCCAACGGTATATTATTCAGAAGGCTAATACGAAGCGTTGATTACGTTTATTTCGAGACCACACACATATATCCAAATGTACAGATGTGTTAAACAAGCATAGGAGAGTTGTGCCGAAAGGCAAGCAAGCGAACGAGAGCCAGAGCAAGAGCGTGACGAGACCGTGCGAGCGAGTGAGCGATTGTGTGTTCAATATGAATAACATGGACATATATATACCATGTGAAATGAATGAGTAATCGAATCGAATAAGCGGTTAGTAGTAAGACTAGCAGAGTGAATAAATGCGTAGGCAGTAATCAATATTCAAGCATACGTATTTCATACAAGCGCAAAATAATAATAAGGATACAATAAATTGTTATAGTGCGGATGGCTTTGTCCGCTAAATAAGTTAACAAAAAGGGCTTAACTGGGTTAAATGAAAATAAACCCATTAGCACGTGAGTCGCTATAATGTTTACTTTACAGTTCAGTACATTTACAATACTATAATAGTTTAGTTTTAAAACTAGAGTGTTTAAATTAAGATTTAAACCGTTCTGAGACTCCATTTTTCATGTTATTTACCACAAAATGAAATACTTGCAGGCACTTTAGTTATCTCAGGAAATGTTATAGTCAGTATTAATAATGACTGAATGCGATCGTCACACCATATCACAAATTGACTGAACTTGGTAATGGAAACCATAGGATTTCAACCGATTTGTCCAAATACGTTTTTCTTATTGCGTACTTACGTACTTCTGCTACTCCTCGTGGAGAGGCATAGGCCGTTCATCAACATTCTCCATCCAACCATGTCCTGGACAATCCTTTCCAGTCGCTATCCATCCTTTGGTGTCTGCACCCAATTCTCGATGCCATGTGTTGTTTGATCTTCCTCTTTACCGTCTCCCTTCAGGATTCCAAGTTGGTGCTTGACTCGTGATACAGTTTGATGATTTCCTAATTATACGTCCTGTCCACTTCCAGTGTCTTTTCCTAATTTTCTCTTCAACTAAAAGTTGGCTTGTTCACAATAGGCTGTTGCTGATGGTTTCCAACCACATACACTGACCAAAATGTTCTATATTAAAAAGAAATCATTTTCACTGATCTCTTGTTTTCAATGATTTTTCAGGTAGCTGAATACTATAATTAAATTGTTAATTGACAGATATCAGTAGTTTCTTTATTCACGGAATATTGATTTTTACTTTGTATTTAGCCTTTGTTAATTGCTTACGACAATTTACGAATCAATGTTTATCGTTACTTTATGAATGAATGTATACTAAATAACTTATCAGTAGTAGCATCATCAAGAAAAGTTGATGATATGTTGAAGATGCCGACGAAGCAAATTACTGATGAAATTCAAAACGATTCCATTCTCATTACAAATCGTAATAAAAATATAAATAATGATGCAAGTAGAAGTAACAGTGTAACATCAACTAAATTTAGTAATGATAAAGCTGATTATAACAAATTGGCTACTGGAGCAATATGTAAGTTTTTATTTTAAGTAAATTCACCCTTTTTTTCACTTAAGAAATACTAATATTTATGTTAATTTATTATTAAAAAAGAGTATATTTCTTCTTGATAACAGTGTCTTCAAGTTCAGTCAGTCATAAGCAAAGTATAAACTGAGATAAACGCACATCGATTCAAATTACCACATTATATCAGCACTGAAAGATGAAATTATCTTCACAAAGATCAGAGTACTCTAATTACTAATAGTATCTATGATAGTTGTGTGTCTCTCAGTGACCACGGCTGTCAATCAGTTGGTCACTTAGTCATAAGCAACGTAGAGCCTGGCAAATATGTGTATCAGCTGAAGTTCACACACTACATCAGAACAGCGAGATACCAGAGTAATAGAAACAAAAGTAGTATTAGTGGGTGTGCAAATAATTAGGAATAGATAATACGCATAGATAATAAAGTGACGTAATAAAAAGTATAAAGTGGTTTTAAAATCCAAGACTAAATAGAAGATAAAGATTAACTACTTCTGCATAATTCTAACTGATTATGATCTATATCACCTAAAATAGCCAACCACTAATCACAAATATCATGCAGGTACCAATTAGTTAGTTTGCACATACCAACATGACTAACATCAAAAGTCAATGGCTTCATGAACTAATCCCACATTTACAGATCGAATACCTCTAAATAAATTTTTATATGTAGAGCTTAGTTTCTTATTATACCGCGTACAGCTAGAGCACTCGAACGCTAGAATCCTCCAAGTCGCAAATGAGAAAACAGAGGACAAGTGAAAGGAATACTATTTCAAAACAGTGTCAATTATGGTACAGAACTGTCAGGCACTTATAGTTTTTTAGTAAAAACGAAATAATTATATTCCTCCAATCCACATACAGGGGGTTATTAGCATTTTTCCAATAGGGAAGCCACACGCAAGGATTCTGGAATATTCTTCTAAGGGATGATTGGATAGAATATCTTCGGCTCTTTCTGAGCTTCTTAGAGCTTCCTCGAGTTCACCCATGGACCGTCCTCACATAAACATTGTAATGTAACAGCTTTATATATTTGTAAAATATAAACACCTATACATGTATATACATAGATTTTTTGAATAAATCAGTTAAGTAGTTGCATTCATAGTAGTTTCAAGAAAACATTTCAAATAAAAACCTTGTTGTCAGCATAATTGAATGATTCTTATATCGTCATATTTAGTAGTGAATTAAGGTAGTGTGAGTATCATACAAGATAGAATTAATGTTCTATTCCATTCATTGTTTCATAAAAAACAATAATATCATAGGAATTTAGAAAAAAATGAATATGTTCGATTACGAATCGCTTGTTTATCCAAAGCAATCCTGACAATTGTAAACAAAAAAAGAAAGTAAGAATTGTAAGTAGTTAACTGTTGTGTCTTTAAGTTCGACTTTTTATCACGTGATTTATTCGCCAATCGAAATATGACTTATACAGTCTCAGTACTGTGCCAAACCAATGACGTTCGACCGGTATGAGCAGCCTAGTGTCCTTATTGCTCATTTGCTCGCCTAGCCCATCTAGTTGAGTTCAGAACACCAATAACAGCTACCACTATGCGAATCGTTTGTTTCAAACATACTTGGTTTATATATCAGCCAAATAGACCGCATCACTCCATAAAATAGGAAATAACATCTATACAAAATCAAGTCAAAAAGTGACTGTGAACGTGGAAGACAGAAGTTAATAAATTGAACATAATTTAGGAAAAGTAACTCGTATCATAATAATCTATAGGTCAAAATAAAGCTTATAATAAGATGAATATAAATATACATAATCTAGTTACTGAACAGAGTTATACAATAGGAATATTTATATAATATTAGCCTATTAATAGTTCTCAGATGTTACCCGTAATTTAGTCGTCGCTAGGATATAACAGTAACTATAGAATGTATGCCGATATGACTAGTACGATAATGAATTATGAATAAAGTTCACTACATTTAAAGCGTATATCAGAATTGAATTTGTTCATATTGTTTTAACAAGTGATCATTGAAAACAAAATCATGTAAGTTTAGATAGTCTACTTTTACTGGATTTATTTCATTATGTAACATATTCATTTAAAATTAAGTAGTTTGATCCAAGTTACCATGTACAAAATTAGCATGATAATTAGCAAAAGAGTTTGAAATAATACAATAGCAATCACAAAGAAAAAGAGTAAACATTGGGTCTATGGTTTGAAAAAACAATTGAAGAGGTAAGTATGAAGATATTCTTTAGTTTTCAGGTTGAAAGAGAGATAAAGGGTGAATTAAACCCTAACCACTATGAAAGATACCTAATATCCGTAACCATTGATTGGAACTATCCACCAAAACGTCTCAGACCAACAGTCAATGACTTCACGTTTATTACAGAAACCCTGGTTATGATAATTGTATACCCATGTTATCATATAGTTTGATAGTGACTACAAATATCACTTTACTTCGGAAAATGCATTTTCCGGAATTACATCTAACTAATTAATTTGTAAATATATGCAATAAACTACACAGAATCTATAATGATATCCATCATAGAGTTATTAGTTATGAATTGAGATATAATCTGTTTCATAATGCATAAAAAATATTTCTTCTCAAGACATATAGAATACTTAATTGGTTTCATCATTCTCTTTAACATTTTTTTGTTTTGTTTTGTTCTATTCAAGTTGGAAATTGTCATTTCATTGGAGTTACACGTCTACCGAATAATCATTTACCATTGTGCAGTATAAATGGTGAATTATGTATGCTTAGTCCAACTGGACGCTTATTAACTCAATTATTAACAACTCATCAATTTCGATTATATAGTAAATAATTAATTAATTAATATTTCATTTTAATTAGCTAAAAGAAAAGGATTAAATATTGATGAAAAACATTTCGAATTTACCGGAATAAAAAAGTTATCCTATCATGATGTATGTTACTTTAAAAGCTATTTCATAATCAATTTATTAATATTACTGATGTTTCATTCAAATTTCGTAAATATATTTCCCTGTAATCTCAAACAAACAATAATAAAGATTAAATTCACTTGGTATTGTTTGTTTGAATCTTCCCATTGTTGATATAGGACTGCAACTGACCAGTCTGTTATTGGCATATGTGCATCCTATGTGGATTGCCTTGATATAGCCTTGATTTACAAGCATTATATGCTAAGATGGATAGTGACTAGCAGTGGAATCTAGAACGCGCGTTTCACCCTGTTTGGAACTCGTCAGCTGGATGTACCCGCATCTCAGAGTTGATGTCTACTCTGGGACTAGAACTCAGTACCGTAGATAACGCGATGGCATTTGAAGCAAACGGTATTGGTTTCGTGCCTTAAAGTGAACACCAACTCTAGGATGCAGGTACACCCAGCTGACGAGTCCCGAACAGGACGAAACGCGCGTCCTGGGTTCCACTGCTAGTCATCATCCATCTTTGCATGTAATAAGAAAGATTGTTGGATAAAAGGAGTTCATTCCATTTTATAATATCTGTACCTTCCATACCCTTACTAAGTTTATAGATTTATTACAAGTTTACAAGAAGTATTTATGAAGAAACTGTTTAGTAGTATGAACAATCAAAAATATTTATCGAAACCACATAAGTGAATAAGGTTATGATGTAATCAATTGTACAGACACATTTTGGGAAATTGATAATCTTAGGTGATATGAAAATCTGATGATGTGTGGATTTAAGTAGTTATATTGGCAAAGCTAACAACTTCTTCTAAATGGTGATCAGAAGAATAAACATAAACTTACAATGGCAAGTGAACTGAATATTGAAAGTGTTGGATTTCTTGATTTGTAGAGATTATTCCGAATTTAATATACCTTTTGTCACAGACTAAAGAAGACAGAAACCCATTGAAAACTACAGAGCAGTAGGCACTTAATTCTTCTAGGTTTAGAAATCTTCAGTAATGGTTATTCATGATAACTCATTGAATTTAACTCGCGGCCTACAATTTTTGTGACAATCACGTTTTCGATAAGTCACGAAGTCATAGTACATCTATCCATATTTCTAGCTTTGGTTACTTCTCAATACGTGTGCTATAATAAAAAGTGGTACCAGTAATAATAATAATATTTTGCGAATAAAACACATTTTCACCCTATTTCAATTTAGATGGTTACCTACTTTGAACAAGCTTTAAAATCTGGCTGCTTTGAAGATGCTGAATATTTGCTAATCATCTAGATTCACAACAAATATGGCGTCAATTGGGTATGAGTTGTTTACGTGTTATGAATTTTGACCTGGGTAAGTATAATATACTAAAAACACACTGACGGTGTTTCTTGTTAAGTTTAATTACGTAGCTTCTTTACTCAATAATAACTAATTTTGAGAGGTAATTTCTGGAGTTCTAGCGGGGAGCAGTAACCAGTGGGATTAAAACATGTTGTGGGATGTGACATATACCATCATTTGAAACGTATGGTAGTCGTCTAGTGTAGATATTTTTTGGATATAGAAACGTAGACTATTGGATAAGAACAGAGTGATCTGAAGGCTGTACTCTTAGCGATGCCCGAAGTTCATGAGTTCAGTTTTTAAAAAGGCATTGTGTGCACTACTGAATTGATGAGTGTTGTGTTTAAGTTTCCATAACGAAATATCCAGCTTCATGTACATCCAACTATTAAGTCCCAAATTGAATGAGACGTGCATCTTGAACTCCCCTGTTACTTATCATCCAATGATTTCTCATGTAAATAAAGTTCACATTTCACGTTTTAAATCAATCAATTTTCGCTCACTTCCTTAAATGTCTATAATGTTATTTTGTTTGATCTCCATTTTGTAATAATTTAGCAATCAGGTGTTTTCGACCAATTCAAGATCCTGGTCTTATTTTAGCTGTACAACGAATTCAAAAGATTGAAGATCGTCCTTTACTTGCTGGCTATATTGCGATGATTTTAAAAGAATTTGATAAAGCACAAGAATTATTTTTAATCTCATCGGAACCAATTGCGGCATTAGAAGTATGTATATTGAACTTAAGTTCCATACAAAGTTTTTCTTTTTCCCAAATTTGAATTAAGTGGGAATAAAGATCGTAGAAGAATAGTATAAATACCTTATTCTGTTGACCTAAAATTCGATTAATTGTTATCCACAATTATGTAACCAAACCAATTCAATACAAATCCAAAATAATTTAAAGGTAGCAAAAGTCCACTACCGAAGAGTCATGAAAAAATGAACGAAACAGTCAGTTAATGCCCTCTATCTTTGAATGATTTTATGTGGCATAAAAACTAACTCTATAGTATACTTGATCAAATATTTCAGTAATTTCCTGGCAGCATATCCAACTGATCAGCTATAAATTTTAATACATTAAGAACAACGATTTTGACAGAAAAACATATAGGTTCTCTTTTCATGTCATCAATCCTCTCAGATAATTATCGACTTAACTTACATTAGTAAATAACGGAAGTAAATAAGTCAAATACGAGAACGGATTTTTGAATACATATATCTTGTACACTCATTGATCTGGACAGACAATCAGAGGGACGAAGCGAAATGACGTGCAGTGGAGAAGGCAAATGAGCCAACTCGATTTAATCAAGCGTTAATAGTCACACAAAAATAAGCTACAGACATGTGATAAGTAGGATAGGAATTGTACACTTATACTCTTACATAAAAATAGTCAAGGTTGACAAGCGAATAATTAACAAGATCAAAATGTAGCTTGAGGAGAATGGATAAGTTGGTTTGTCCAAAGTTAGAATAAGCTATGTGTACTCGACATAGGACCAGCCACTACAAACTTCACAAAAATCATTCGTCTGAGTTACAAATGTTCATCTCAAAATCCAAGTGCCGTGTTTATCAAGGTTTACATATCCATGCTTTCTAGAAATTAAAAAATAAACATATTCACTTTAAAATTGTTGATTACTTAACAATAGATTCTAAATTGTGTAATTTAAAGTAGATTATTTGACTAACAGCAGTATTCATGAATAGAAATTTGTTATTTTTTAACAATTTCCTTACTTATAATTTAGATGAGACGAGATCTTTTACATTGGGAAGATGCACTTCAATTAGCACGTAATTTAGCACCAAAAGAAATCCCGTTTATATGTCGTGAATACGCTATAGAAATGGAATATACTGGTGATTATATCAATGCTTTGATGCATTATGAACGTGCATTAAATCCATCTAGTGATGATAATGAAGATAAATCTTTATGGAATTCTCAAGAAAAGCACCAACCATCACAAAGTATTAATATTGTTTTCTATGAATTTTTTGGTTCATTTGTTATTTGGTCGTTTGTCAAATCCAAATGCTAGTTTGGTCCTATATGGGGTTTGTCAGATAGATGTACATAAACTCCAGTATTGACGTCCACCTTGGAACTCGAGCCCAGTGCTCATAGTTTCAAACGCCCTATATGTTCTCCACTGAGCCATTGAGTCAAAATAATGCTTAACGTGTTCAGAATGTTTAAGATGTTAGTAATTCCACGCTGCTGATATTCGGAACTGAAATCAATAAGTCTCTATTGCCATATGCAAATCCTGAACAAATCTCAGAATAGTTTAATGTCACAGGTTTAATATATTTGGTATTTGGTTTTCAGGAGAATTTAGGACGCGTGGATAATACATTGGGCATTTAAAGTGAAATGTACGAGTTTAGAGTCCCTGTGTTAACAACAACACCAGGATTTAGGTTTATTTAGTTAACGAGCCTCACATAGGACGAAATGTATGTGCTTAACTCCACTACTCATCATATGCTAAATATACTAAGATGTGTAACATAAACATTCATCGAAGCAAACCGCTAAGAATGCAGATATGACAACAGAGACTGATTGATTTCATCCTCGAATATCACCAATGCAAAATCACAAACATTTAACTATTTTTCCAAAACATTTTATTCCAAGTATGGTTGGTACATTCTTTTTAGAAAAAAGATATGATTACAATAATGAAGAATGGTCAAAACATATCAGTTTGTGTAATGCTGGTATTGCACGAAATGCCATTCGACTTGGTGATTTAAAAAGGTATTTTGTTTTGATAATTTTTAAAATGTATTTAGTATTAAAAATGATTACTTATTATTATTAAATAATTAAATAAGCTTTTTATATTTGGATTGGTTATAATTTTCTAATTTGATAACTGCCTATTTTTACAAACTGTAGCAAGAATTAATGCATTCGTTTTCTTTAAACATGGATCATCATGGATCGATCTAGGTTAGACCACCAGTGAAAACTTGGAAGTACTGGATGCCCGTTTCGTCCTAGTATGGGACTCCTCAGTAGTGCACATCCACGACCCTACAGGCGAGACTCGAATTCAAGATAATGAGATTTGTTTCATAAAATTTCTTTAAAAGATTTATAAAATAACGTTTATGTGTATTTTACTAATTTTGGAAATAATCCAACAATGACATAGAAAGTATGTTTCTTTTTCAATGTCTTTTCTTTACTTTTCATCTTACTTGAACATTTAACTGCTTGAATTCTACTCTCAGAGGTATTGAATTGGCTTCCACAAGTGGAAATTCTAATTTACAAAAAGAATGTGCTGATATTTTAGAAAAGTGTAAAGTGAGTTGATACAATGAATAACATTATAAATTATATGAATGTAATTTTGTTTTCGATCTATTAAATCCCTTTAAGTTTATGCTTGTTTTATTGTAATGTCCCTAAAGTATTTGTAATCGATGGATAGAAACATCCTAAACTGTGTCTTATGACTACTGAATAACAATCAGTAGGTGATTGAATTATCCGATTGTTTATATTCAAGACAGAATTTTGACCAGGATTTGTTAATGTATGTGCAAATAGCGTCGATGTCGCCATTTCATAGCAATATTTAAAGAACAGATGGATTGCGGCTAAAGGTGAGTGCCAGGGTGAGCCTTTCTTTCTATTTTGGACTCCAGTCATAAAATAAACATCAACACTGGGATGTAGATACATCCACCTGACGAGTCCCAGATAGAATGAAACTAGAATCCCACGTTCCAATGATAATTACGATCCATCCGTTATCAATGAAGATTATTCAAGAGTGATTTAAAATGCATAAAATGAATTTTTTGAAATTATAAAATTGCCAATGCACGTTATTCAAGAATCATGGAAAGTGGTAACTATGATCTATAAATTATGTACACATTTTTGTAGGTTTTTATGCGCTTTTCACCGAATTTCATGATCTAAAATTTGCGAACATCTGGAGTAAACTAAGAAGATCAGTAACATGTCCAAAATTACCACATATACAAATTTATCGTTAACAAATATTTACTACCTTATTGACCTAGGTCTCTATACAAATCTATCCAATATATTCAGAGAGAGCTATTGTAGATGTTAGAGTGATTGAAGCTAGATCACCATGGTAAACCTGGAATCCGAATCTCGCGAGGCGGGGCCGCGGATGCGCGTTGCTGAGGAGTCCTGTTCTTGGACAAAACGGCCATCCAGTGCCTCCAGGTTTTCCATGGTGGTCTAGCTCCAATTGATTCATGAATTCAACTTTTCAATATATTCCATAAAATGATGTTAGTTTATAGTTAAAACTCAGGTTTCCATTGGTCCCAACTTAAGCAATGTCGTGATACAGAACACTAATGATCTAGAATCGCATATATTTATTATTTTATCTGATCACTGTCGGTTGGAACCACCATTTCTATGAAAACAAATAAGATCAGTATGTTGATACACTGTCCCCACAGTGTAGAAATAGGTTGAAGAAAATTCGGAGCTGGCCAAACAAGATATTGCATTAGTCATGTAATATTGATCTAAGTCATATTAGCACATACAGACTACCTGACTGTAATCAATGTGATTTACGTGACCAAGTGGCGACCATGTAATATAATATTTTGGTGAGGCTATCATTTATGAACGACCTTTGAGCAACACTAAAATGACCTTGGAATACCCACCTAATTACTAGGGTTAAATGAGAGCCATAAACCAGTGTGCGGAATTAAGATTATGAGTGAGTGAATTTCGCGCCGAAATTTGAGACTTGCTATCTTAAATATGATTGGTTCGTTCACAAATTGCAGTCTTGCTGCTAAAAAGATGTATTTTATAATTTCGTTATTTATCTGAAATTACTCTCATTTAGTTTATTCTTTTTCTTAAAATTATTATTTTTATTATATTGAAATAGCATTGGCAAGAAGCGGCTAATCTATACGAATTAGCTGGATGTTATGAATCAGCAGTGATTGTTAATCTAAAATGTAAAAATTATATAAAAGTTAGTGAATTATTAATGCATGTTACAAATACACCACGATTACATTTACAATATGCTAAAGCACGTGAAACTGATGGAGCATACAAAGATGCAGTTGAAGCTTATGAAACAGCACATGATTTCGATTCAGTAATAAGGTGAATTTATTTTATATACAATTAAATTTGATTAAAATATAAAATGAATAAAAGTGATGATTTTAACAAGTCAATATGTTTTACTGTTCTTAAGTTGGTCGATAGTAAATGACAGTTAACATAAATGAATTAAATCAAAGTAGAATTAATTTTGTTTAACTTAGATCCAATGATAATCTGTCTATCAGCGTCGATTTGTGAATATTATTGAATTTTATTTCGATCATGAATCACAGTTAGACAACCGATAAAAGTTTAGAGACACTAGACTGCCATTTTGTCCTGATGTAAAGCTCACCAACACTGCTCATCTATGACCCTGTAACTGATAATGGAACCCAAGATAAGACCTTCGGTCTCGTGTACGAACTTTATTTTTAAAGAACAAAGATTTTGAACGTTAAAAATTGTTTGAAGTAAATTGCATTTTAATATCAATTATTTATTGAATACATATAAAATTTGGTACGATTGTGTACCATAAACGCTATACGATAAGCAAACTAAAGAGATAACGTCGTGAAGAGAACGAAAAAGCAAAGGGACATTAATTAAAAAAGTAATGAATAAGTATATAATACGGCGTATAGCTCGAGTACAGGTACCATCCAGAAAAAGTACTTTCAATCAAGAAAACTTACTTCATTTTTATAAGAGCTGTCGGATCAAAATGATACATACCTGACGTCTCAAGCCCGTCAGTTATACCATTTCAAGGAACACGATCAGGGAGTTGGGATTTACCGACAGATTCTTACATATACTGTCTTCTACATAATTGACACTTAATTTCTGTCAAACTAGCCGTCCAAATATTGACGAATATTTAAAGTGTTGAGAAGTTTCTACATGTCCGTTCAACTGAAGCACAAATAAATAACTTCTTTCCAAACTGAGTAACGTGAATTTTGTTCTGAGTTACAGTTATAAATCATAGAGAACTTAGTTAAGACTACTGCCCTTGTTTAAAACAAGTAGGTTTATATTCTACTTCACGGAAAAGGAATATTTTCTATACAGACCTGTTGAGGTTTATTTAAAGATATCGATCTGTAATACAGCTGACGATATGATATCGTCGGATATTTGGATATTTTTCAAGTATAATCCTTTGAGCTTATTCACTACTAGTGAAGAAATTGTAAATGCAAATTCTACTTTTCAACATCATCTTTGTAAAATATATGAACGAGTTAGATGTTTGATATTCAAACACAAGTAAATCTAAGATATTAAGATGTCTTTTTCGACATATAATTAGATAACTGAAATAATGTATGTACGTCTTTCATTTTAAAGTCTAGATGTTAGCATTGTACTATAGCAAATAGTTTAAGTTCTAATTGCTATTTTCATGAATAAATTCTATCGTAAAACATATACAACACTTACGTTTGACACTTCTCGTGAAACATAGGCAACCGACCACGATTTTCAAACCAACTCTGTCCTAGACTTCCCTTTCCAATTGCTCCCAAGTGCTATTCATTCTTTTGATGTCTTCCTCCGATTCGCGACTAAATGTGTTCTTTGTTCTGCTTTCTTACTTTCTACTTCAAAAATTCCAAGTAAGGGCTTACTTCAGATATGGTTTGATGGTTTTCTCCATAATATCTGCTAATCACCTCCGGTGAAACAAGCACACAATACAATGTAAATATTTCAATGATCAAAATAATAATTAACATACAATTTCATGTTTGTTTTTCATTCTAGATTACAACTTGAAAAGTTGAATAATCCTAATGAAGCTATTCGTATACTAAATAAATCGCATAGTAGTGAGGGTGCTAAAATGATTGCACAATATTTCATTAGAAATAATGATCAAACTAAAGCCATACAATTTCTTGTAATATCCAAATGTTTCAATATTGCATTTGATTTAGCAAGAAAACATAAAAAAATGGAATTGTATGCAGAGGCTATCGGTATGATTAATTCTTTTATTGTTATTATTCCATTCAATGAATATTAATTAAATTAAAGGGGCGAGTTAATCAAATACTCTCCCTTTCAACAAAAAAGACTGCTGTTACAGGTTTTCAGTGATGATCTAGCTTAGATCGGCTCATGAATTCAACTATTAAAATTACTAGTCTTCGAAAATCCCCATTCTGTTAATAATCATGTGCTCACTAGTGACTAGCTTCAAGATGGATTTCCAGGAGTTCTAGTGATAAGCCGTGAGCAGTGGAGTCCAATCCTTGTCAGGTGGAGATAGTTATCCACTTCAGACAATGGATGAAGGGTTATGCAAGATCATGGATCTATTAGAGTTAAACATTAACATCCATTGAATGCCGACTCAATAGTCCAGATGTTAAGCATTCACGCGCCAAACCTAATGTCCTGGGTCTGAGTCCCACATGCTGACTCACTCCTGAGAAGTCCCGAACTAGGAAAAAACGGTCGACCAGTGCTTCCAGGTTTTCAATGGTGGTCTAGCTTAGATCGACTCAAGAATTCGAATACTAAATTTGAAATATAAGTGACATTTTATGTTCCATTAGATAAAATGTTTATGTGAAATACCTTTGTTAAGTGCTCAGAATGTTTGAGATTTCCAAAAAATACTTTTTGGTCATCAAAGAGTAAGAACGATAGTTCTTACTCACTATTTTTTACTATAGAGTTTGTACAAAACACGCAAATCAATTAGTGTTTGTTTCGATTTGCTTTGTCAATTGTAAATCAACAAAGAAATGATTTTTTCATTCCTTCATTGAATAATAGGCAAGCTGGTGTGTTAGGAATGACAACATAGATAACGAACTTCATCAAGGCCCCTATTGAGCTACTGCTGATCCTACACGTGAGTAAACGAAGAAGTTTAGGTATGTGAAGTTAGCAACCTCACTGCGTAAAGAACCTCGCTAAAAATCATGAACCAGAAAATTGTAGATAATGATATCCACGCATGATACCCCTCTATTGATAGATGCACAACTATATTTCTCTATTAATTCAATCTCCCTAACTCATCAAACAATTTATTAGTAAACATGGGTGAGACTATAATCTACGGACGGCCTTTGAGAGACGCTATAGTGACTTTGAGAACGCCCTCCTTTAAACTAGGGCTAAACGAGACTCATAAACCAGTGTGAAGAATTAGGATTAGAATTCACAGTAGATGATCAGGGTTAAGAATCAAATTTATGGCTTTCATCACGAATTGATATCAACTAAAATGCCAAAACGCTATTTAGCCAAATGCATGAATAAATTTTGCTCCCAAATCCAGGATCTGGTATTCGGGGTTCGACAACATCTTTATAATTGAAATGTACAAACGCAGTCAAATCAAAAGTCACAAATTAAGGAGTTCGAAGTTGTATTAGGAAGGCTATCTGTATGTCAAGAAATGTTTTGTCTAAGCTGGCTAGCAGTTGCAAGGCATGTGTAGCATGATATACCCACTCGTGATCTGGTGTGTATGAGTGACCTTCAGTTAGTTGTGTCCAGTTAAATTAATAAGGTCAGCATCGAATGTCGAAAACTTACAGAACTATCGATTTTGGAGATTTATTTACCGCTAAAATCCTTAAACAAAATAAGAAAATAAATTAAAAGTTTCATTTGATAGCTTCATAACTAGAAGTTACTTCCTTCACAAACTTGAATTATTAATGCTTGCACATAAATTTATATACATTCGTAAACTAAGGGAATCTTATATACTTAACTGTTTTACAATTCTATATTCATACGACGTCATGAAAATGACTGTTTTAGATAGATGAAATTACATCTTAAAGATTTGTGTTTTTTTTTGTTGTTGTCAGAAAACTGTAATCATTATATCAATACAATCTGGTGTATTCGGACTAATATTATACTACTGATAATATTTAATCAGTAAATTAACAAATCACTGTTAATAGATTGACTGTTATATTAAAAAAATATTTTTTAAATGTATATTTATCCATTAACCCATTTGTTTAATTGTATTTTAGGTTTGAATGCATCTGTCAGTGAATATCAGAATATTGCATGTTATTTTGAAAATGAAAAGAATTGGTATTTAGCTGGTAAATATTATTTATTAGCTAAACAATATGAAAAGGTGAAATTACCCACAACTACTTTACATTAAATTAGTTAATATTTACACTACAAAATTATTCGACTATAATCTTAATCACTAATAATGATTTATATTATACTAATACCAATTTTGGTCAATTTCCGAAATAATCAAGTTATTATTAACCGCTACCTATCAATAACTTCAATTTCTAGTGCGAATCACTCCATCAATTAAATGTTTTCATTAAGATTTAAAAATAATAATAATGATCGCTATATTCAATATTACTTGTTAATAAGAATATGGAGTTCTCAGTGTACAGTGATTCACTAAGATCCTCCTACCTTTGTTGTACGTTATAGATATTATAGATGTAGATATATTCGTCAGTATAGAATTATAGACTTTCATTTAAATCATGAACGGATCAATGTTAAACGACCAATGTGAACCTGAGAGTATGGAACAGTTGTTTCGTCCCATTATGAGACTCCTCAACGGTGCGGATCTATGACTTCGTACGCAGGGATTGAAACCATGACCTTCAGTATCACATGCGAACTCTCAAACACTAGACCATTGATCCTGCATCCAATAGTGTTGTCTAAATTCAAGTAGTTCACGATATTGTGCAACTATCTTCCATTATATTCAGTAGATAATTGAGCCACACCCGTCCAACGCTATCAAGTTTTCAATGGTGATCTAACATTTATCTGTTCATGATTTCAATATATATTCATAGAACAAGTATGTAAATTTATATTAAATTAAATATTTCTACAAAAATCAGAATCTAAACAACAGCGTATAAGATTTGATTATGTAAGCTCTCACAATCTTTTTGTTTCATTTCAAATGTTCGCGACACGATGTTGTAGAGCTTTTGGACCTATATATGCTAATATGTATACCTCTCGTTCTGCTGGAATATAAACAAGAAAGATATAAATGAAGTGGATAATCTGTGTCTGAAAGATTTCAAATATTCATTCGTAATGACATTTCAAAGATGACAATCGACTCACGATTCACTTTACTGACTTCTTTCAACACTACACGACAGAAAAATAATAATAATAATAAGGGACTGTATAACATAATATGTGATATACAAGAATTTGCGAATCGTAAACATCAGTTTCGACTAATGCTAAAATAATTCAGCCTTTTTATATGATGTCATAAAAAGTTCTTTAGTGGAAAGATGAATAGTGAACAGAAGAAAAACTTGCAGAGACATAATCGCTACATGACATAACTGTCATTTCAGGAAATTCCTTAGTATAAACTTCATGCGATTCGAAAACAGTGTTCAGATACTTTTCATGTCTTAAGCTAAAATTAACAAATTGACATTTAGAAAACAATTTAATATCGACAACCATACAATGAGCGCTAAGAACTAATTAACTTCAAGGGAATTTGCAGAGGAAAAAACTGATGTACAAACAGTAAGATTATCCAAAATCCTGGAACATGGATATAGGGTTTCCTGATGACTGTCACCTGAAATATAAACATGATTTACTGAATGTCAAGTTATTTAGACTAGTGGCCACATTGTAAATTAATGAATAAAATTTTGTTATATCTAAGGACTAGAGATTACTACGTGATCACTAATGGTGACCAATAAATGTAAAAATTGAACTCGAAGCTAGTCATTAATCAGCACATTGTTACTATTCAAGCAAAATTGTTTTCGGAAGACCTTGTATAAATGTGAAGTATTATTTATGACAAATGGGTACATATATATATATATATATATATATATATATATATATATATATATATATATATATATTCGAAGACGGGATTCATAAACATAGAGCTGATACAGTAACTAATGATAATTGCAGATGGTTTAATGAAAATGATCAATTTATCAAGGGAATGATAACTTGATTACTGTTACTTTCTGGACACACAAATATATTTTGTGCTTTTAAATCGCTCCAGAGAAACGACGAGAAGCTGAGTTATTTTGTTTGCTGATATTTTTGATGAATTTAGAAATGTCAATAATATCCTCTTTATCCATTGGATGCCTAGATATTACATTACATAGATCCTTTGCACATGTCAGTCTCAAATACTTTGCAACGTTTCCGGAAATGAAAACTTATACCATTCACCCTGTTCTGTCATTGTATGTGCTCTACCACATACTTGTAAATGGATAAATGCAATTGGGCATACTGAGAATTAAGGATCTGCCGATTTGCATTTGTTTTAAGGAGCAGTTTTATTCCGCATAGGATTATCATTTTTATTGCTTCGATGAGCAATCTTCATTAAGGCATTTATTTTGCGGTTAATTATTTCAGTAATTTCATCTCCTTTGAAACGAATTGATTCACCCACACAATTCAGAGATTACAGCCACTACATGCTATAAAATAAAACTTTACTACTGGAAAATGCTCAGCTAACACAGCTCCTATGCTTAGTACTTATTTCATCTCTAAGACACTGTTTACATTTTTATTTTACTGTAATTTCTTTTGAATGTTATTCTAGGCCATCAAACATTTACTTCATGTACCTTATCAAGAAAATAGTCCAGCTATCGATTTAGCACTTGAAGTAGTTGGTGAAGCTAATGATAGTCGTTTAACACATTTAGTTATTGTTTATTTAATGGGTGAAACTGATGGTATAGTAAAAGATGCCAGATACTTATTTCGTTTATATATGGTTTTAAAACAATATAAAGAAGCCGCTAGAACAGCTGTTATTATAGCTAATGAAGAACAAATCAATGGAAATTATCGAAATGCACATGATTTATTATTTAGTATGGTACAAGAATTAAGACAAAGAAACATTCATGTTCCATTTGAAATGTTTGAAAACTTAACTTTATTACATTCTTATATACTTGCAAAGGTAGGTTATTAGTTTTGTTTACAAAATATTGTAAATAATAGTTCATTTTCCTTTGGATTTATTAAATCAAGAAAATATGTAGTTTACATTAGATAGAAACTAAAATAAATAAATAATTTATACTGGTGTATTGTGATAAGTCAATGAAAACTACTTATATTATGTTGCTCCCCCCACACCTGCTTTTCTCCAGGTCTAATTGTACGGCTAAGTTATTTAACACAATTATGTAGTGCAATCCTGAATGATTAAATATATTTAACATGGCTCCTTGAAGTTAAACTCTTTGCTTATAGATGATGAACATTAAAGGACATCTGTCACTTGAGAAGGATCTAATGATACTCTAGAAATTTGAACTTGCACCCCGTACTTCAAGAGATTTATAAATTAAGACCGACTCATGTGGAGCAAACTATGCTTGGGACAAGGATTTTTTCTTAACACCTAACACTGATGTCGGTAGTACATTTGATGACCGATAAGGTTAGGATATTAAAGTCTTTTGGGAGAGATAGGTTAGTAATATTTTTCAGTATCCTCGTCAAACAATTTTGAACGAGGTAAACTACGCAGTTATTTAAGTAGTTACAGATAAATCTGCTATTTACAATAAACTTGTAGTCTACATGCTTGTAATAGTGCATCATTTTGATAATTACTTGTTTTCATGATCAGATTCTATTCTAGCAGATATATTTATCTGAATTGTGTATAAATTTTTATTTGCCCACCAAAGCAGTTACAATGGCAGAACAAACACAAGTGCTATTTTGGATGTCCTGGAGAACATTCATGAAGAGATTTACTCGACGGTGGTCAGTAGCTCGACGTTTAGATGTTTCATGTATACAGATTATAAAGTAGACACTACTAAATCTTTTAAGGCGACCAATTAAAAAATAAGCCGTGCTCTTCTGAAGTTATTGTTAAAAAAGAAAACAGTGTTTTTATTTTTCCTTACCATGGTAACAAATCATCTACTTCTATTGTAACTTTCAAATCGTTCTTTTATTTGGTTCCTCTGTTTTAGGCACTCTTTTACTTCATAGTTCTTCTTTAAACTAACTGAGATCTACATATTTTATCATTTATCTATAATTAAGCTTTTATCCGCTACAATGTTCTTTGATTAATCACTTTAGACTTATATGTATCTTTATTGAATTTTCACGATATCTCCAGCTATTTATAATGTTATTCATAAGCTAGCAGTGACATCTGGATTCAGTAGCAAACTACATAATGCGATCGGTGTTTCAAGCAAAAACTAATAGGTTTGAGTCCCGATATAAATATTAACACTGGAACGTAATTGCATCTAGCTAATCAGTCTCAAATACAACGAGACACGCATTCTGTATTCTGATATTAGCCACTATAAAACTTCACTAAAATTTTCATCATTTGTTCAACTTTACCTAAATCATCACTTACACTACTTATGTTTCCATATTAGTAACTTCAAAAAGTGTCCCTTTCTACTACTTATATATGTATGGTATTTTTTATGAAATGTTTATTTCTCTTGTAAGGTTCATGTTAAAAATGGTGAACATTTACTTGGCGCCAGAATGTTAATTCGTGTATCAGAGAGTATAAGTAAATTTCCTGCTCGTGAGTTACAAAAAATTTTAATAACTCATTGAAGTTTAGTGTATTAATCATAAAACATGTTGTAATCTAAGGATTTTACTTATTTCATATGGAACATATTAATTCAAAAATAAAGAGAATTCAGCGAAGAAAATTTTCTGTTCTCGGTGAAAACATTTACTTAACTTCTAGACTACTAAGACGGCATCCAACGGTGTTAATGTCTAACTTCAACTAATCCACGATATTGCGCAACCGTCTTCTATTGTCTTCAGTAACTGCCTCATAACAGATATAAATGAGCTCCACTTATCAAGACTTCTCACTAGAACTCCAGGAAATCTGTCTTGAAGGCAGTCACTAGTTAGCACATGATAATTATCAGTAAAGGGTTGCGGACCAAGGTCTAAGATCCTGGTTTCAAATCCTGTGTATGGAATCGTAGGTGCACATTGCTGAGAAGTTCCATACTAGGACAAAACGGTCATCGAGTGCTTCCAGGTTTTCAATGTTAGTTTAACGTAGATTGACTCGTAAAATCGATTGTGAAAAAACTTAGTGGATTATTCAATGACATTCAATTTTCCAAGAAACCAGCCAGTTATAACAAACCCAATGCTTGGCATTGATATGCTTTAATTTAAATTGCTATGCCGTATTAGCGTAATATAATGGAATTATCAGGGAAAATGCCAGAGTGGTAGAAGTAGTGATAGTATCAGTGGTAGTTATATTTTTGACTCGAATTCCGATAGTTATCAAAATAATTGATTCTCGATTTCGTCTTACCATTATCCATTTTTTAGATATTGTTCCAATTTTAACAAGTACTGTTATTGAATGTCAAAAAGCTGGTTTAAAATCAACAAGTTTTAGTTATGCCGCAATGTTATTACGTCCTGAATATCGTGATAAATTAGACATAAAATATCGCCGTAAATTCGAAACACTTATACGTAGAACTGATTTAAAAACTGATAATGTTGGAGTTTTGTCAGGTGATAATGGTTCAATATTAAATCAAACGAATTATTCTGTTACTGAAACATCTACACCATGTCCATCATGTGGATCACCTTTACTAGAGACTAGTTTATACTGTACTGAATGCAGAAGTACTATACCATATTGTGTGATCACAGTAAGTTCAATTGTAATTTGAGAATATATACTATGTAAAGTGAACGTTACTGTTACATAAATAAATATAATTTAAGGGAGAATCTTGTTTAATCTTATTCTCAATAAAAAAGAACTACATACATCTCTTGAGAACAATCTCACAACCTTATATTCCAACGTTTTATTGCGGTATGCGCTTCTTATTTTGACAGATATAAGTAGTATTTAACATCAATCGAAAGTGGAATGCCTGCCAGCATAAGATTAAACTGACGAGAACAGGGAGAAAAACGTAGAGCAATAGGAATAACAACACAATTAGAAGAATAATGAAATAAACTATAGGAACATATGCAAATGATGCATTTCATGTATGATCTTCATATGTTGCAAAGTGACAGTGTGATTTTGAATGAAATAATGAGTTGAGATTAGATGGTGGTTGGAGGTAGTCGACAGGAAACCCTGAACCCGGGTTTCGTGCTACTTGGCACTCGTCAGTAAGGTGTACCTGTAATCTTGAGGGAACTGGTGCTCCTTGGCGGATTCGACCCCGTGTCACCCAGCTTCACAGTCAGAGATGTTACCACTGAGCTATCGGGCCGCGACTGACCTCCTATAAGACTGAGATGTAATCACAATTGATTGATCACTGGGTGGTGGCCAATGTCATGTGTGTCAAGTCTTATTTAGTGTAGATCGAATGTTATCGGCCATGTTGCAATGTGGCCATCAGTCTAGGTGACTCGACACCACCATCTAATCTCAATATATAGTGCCCGCATTGTCGAGTCACCCAGACTGGGGCACATTGCAACATGGTCGATAACATTCGATCTGCACTAAATAAGGACTTGATGCACATGACATTGATCACCAACCAGTGATCAATCATTGTGAATAACAAATTGGTTTTACTTCCATTCACTACAGTATCAGTCTACTTCCTAAACAACCAAATAACTTCGTAACAAATAGCTGTATAACATTGATTCAAATGAAAGCTGGTTGTTTTCATATTGTCTCAATGAGTATTTTATTTAATAAACAAGAAATCATTTTAAATAACATGAAACAATGATAGTTAATACATTATTCGATTGTTAAAGAATCACTGTTACAGAGAAAATCAATGTAATCGCTTTCATCAGTATATGGTGGTAGAGATTGTTGAGTTTTATTTAAGATCATGAATCGTTCATTTTTAGACCTCCACCAAAAATCTGGAAACACTGAATGTCCATTTCGTCCTAATTTAAGACTCCTCAACAGTGAGCATCTAAAATCCTTCACATGGGATTCAAATCCTTCGGTCTCGCGCACGAACACAACCTGCAAACTGCGAAACGGCCGTCCAGTGCTTCCATGTTTCCAAAAGTGGTTTAGCATTGATCGCTTTATCGTCTCAATCATAACCACTTTTATTTATAGTAATAAGAATTTTGCTAGATACCATGTCAATAATTCTTTCAAATTATAACTGTCAACTTAATAAGTTAATAAACATCGACCAAATTGATATTATAATCAGAGAGGGGTTTTGTGAATATTATAGTAATTTAATAGTTGAATTCATGAGTCAAGTAAGTTAGACCACCGTGGAAAACCTGGAAGCATTGGATGACCGTTTTGTCCTAATATAGAACTCCTCAACAGTGCGCTTCCACGATTCCACCCCGGAAGACTCGAGCCCAGGACCTATCAGTCTCGTGCGCGGGCGCTTAACACCAAGACCACTGACCCAACATCCGACTGTGTTAATGTCTAAATTCAACCAATCCACGACGTTGAGCCACCGTCCACCATCGTCATCAGTGAGTTACTATCTTAGTTATTAGTTATATATCTACCTGAAAAAAGTTTTTTCAAGTGAAATTAATCAATTTAAACTGATTCAACAATAAATTTTATTGTTTATTTCATTAATATAATTAAAATATTACCTTTTTTAAAAGGGTTATCATGTTGTAAAAAATGATTTTGCCATATGTCCCGGATGCCAATTTCCTGCATTGTACAGTGAACTTATGAAGTAAGTTCAATTACATTATAACAGGACGAATATTTCAAAAGTTGGAACTGGTTTTTTTGAATTATTATTAACTATAACTTTGTTGTATAATTACTGAATAACTGGATTACTTTGTATACACATTACATTTATCTTAATCTTTCGATTAGCCTATCAACTACGGCCATATGATTTACCATCCCTAGTCAATTACTTACAGTCTACCTAATTCACAATACTTTTGGGATTTTTCATGCACAACTGTTATTTTTCACTTTATGGTGTATTGTAGTCTGGCATATTTGTATATAAACCACGTCTGTTTGAAATATAAATATCCTAGAGGCTGTTTGCTACTTCTTGGATCAAGGCAAGACAAAGAGAGGAGCATGTTTATTGTGGATCAATAAAAGCTTAGCTGTTAGCTGAAAATCATTATTCCTAGTCAGGCGTGTAATTAATCAACTTGGGGACATTAAGTTGTCGAGGTAATAGTAGACGTGAAATAGGCTAAATCAGAATCAGAATCCTGATTAATAAATCTGAAAGTGGTATTTTCAGCTGTTCGTAATTATGACACGTTAAATTATCGTTTTATGTAAATTTACTTTGCATAGGATTCGTTTTATTTGTTCGTTTAGAGATTCATTCAAGTCTTCAGTGAAATATTGTATGTATTAAACCATTTCAGTTGTAAGATCTAAAAGTAGTTTAGTCATTCATCTGTGGGTCTTTTGGCGCACACTTCTATGAACTCACAGACAATAACAAAACACTAGTTTGGTGCCTTTTGAGTTTTGCTTCAGTTTCTCAGCTGATCTCAGTTTGTATGATTTAAAAGCCATGATAAAATTACCTTTTGGACAAATTATTTATTTTCACTGCTGAGAAGTTCCACAATAGAACGAAACGACCGTCCAGTGCTTCCAGGTATTCCATGGTGGTCTAGCTTCAATTGATTCATGATCTCAACTATTGACATTATTAAATTGTTTTATACTAATTAAATTGTCACTATTGGAAACATTATAAGTTTCATTTATATTATGCAAATACTTTTTTTGGTTGCTTGTAGATATGTTGAAAACTATCCAACACCAATTTGTCCAATGTGTAATATTCAACTAACACGTGATAGTATTCGACGTTTAATTGACTCAAATGATATTTTAAATCAATGGATTAATTCATTGAATGTTGATATATGTAAGGATGAATTAAATGACAAGAAGAATATAGAGTTAAGTAAATAAACACTGTTAATGCGATAAAGTAATGAGAATATTTATTTCAATGATTTAAAATAATAGTTTGTTTTTTTTTCATTATAATAACAAAAATAAATTTTAAAAAATGATTATCATTTACTGTTCTAAAATGGAAAAATTCTTTCTTTATGACAGAAATTTCGGGTTTGTGAGCATCTACCAGTGTGGTTAAGCAAATTACTTACTTGCAGTTGTTACTCCCAATGAAGCATAGGCAGCCGACCAGCATTCTCCAACTCACTTTCTAGTTCTATCCAATTCTTGTTCATTCTTCTCAGGTCTATCTCCATTTCTCGCAAAATGTGTTCTTTGGTCTTCCTTTTCTTTTTTGGCCTTGAGGATTCCAAGTGAGAGATTGCCTTGTGTTACAGTTAAGCGCTTTCCTCACTGTGTGTCCTATCCACTTCCAGCGCTTCTTCCTGATTTCTTACTCCACTGGAATCTGGTTTACTCTCTCCCATAGTAGGTTGTTGTTGATAGTGTCTGACCAACGGAACCAAAGTATTTTGCGTAGACAGCAGTTAACAAACACTTGTATCTTCTGGATGATGGCCTTCATAGTTCTCCTATTCCCCCCCCCCCGTACAGTAGAACTGCCTTGACATTTGTGTTGAAAATTCTGATCTTGGTGTTGGTGGACAGTTGTTTTGAGTTGAATATATTCTTCAATTGTACATATTCTGTTCTTGCTTTGCCGATCTGCGCCTTCACTTCTGCATCAGATCCACCGTGTTCATTAATGATGCTACCCAGATATGTAAAGGGTTTACATCCTCCGAAGCTTCTTCGTCAAATGTGATTCGATTGTTGCATGCAGTGTTGCATCGAAGAATCTTGCTTTTACCTCTGTATATGTTGAGACCGACTGCTACTGAGGCTGCTGCTACACTGGTTGTCTTCTCTTGCATTTGTTGTTTTATGTGCATTAGAAGAGCTAGATCATCTGTGAAGTCTAGATCGTCCAGTTGTATCCTAGTTGTCCACTGTATCACATGCTTCACCCTCCCAGATATTGACGTCTTCATGATCCAGTCTATCATCAGAAGATAGAGAAAGGGTGAGAGTAAGCAATGCTGTCTGACACCGGTTTTTTCTTCGAACGTGTCTGTCAGCTGTCCTACATACACGATTTTGCAGTTCAATCCATCATAGGAAGCCCGTATGATATCTTGTCGGGCACTGCGTAGTGTCGAAGAAGCCTCCATAGTGTTGTTCTGTCCACTGTATCAAATGCTTTCCCTTGGTTAATGAAATTGATGTAGAGTGGTAAATTCCATTTAATTGATTGTTCTACAATGATCCATAGTGTTACGATTCGGTCGGCACACGATCGTTTCTTACAGAATCCAGCTTGTTGGTCTCGAAGTTGGGCGTCTACGGAGTTTTTTATTCTGCATAAAAACACCCTATCGCAGACGTTTCCTTGTATTGAGAGAAGAATAATCCCTCTGTAGTTCCCACACTCGCTGAAATCGCCGTTATTACGCATTTTCTAAATTAACGTATAGTAAATCCCCAGGGAAGTATATTGTTGTGTACCGATAAGAATATTGAATGGTGTCATTTTCTTATTGGTCATTATTTATTTCACGTGTCGTTTTCCTACTGGTCAATATTGTACAATGTTATTTTCTATTTTATGGTACGTTGTGGTCTGATTGATCGGTATTTAAACAAAGTATGTTTGAACTATAACGATTCATATCTCAGATGCTGTGACTTGTGTTCTGGACTCAAGTGGCTGGGCTAGACAGGGAAGCAGGGCCAATCAGAACCATAGGTCGTTCTTACGTGCTTACGCGTCTTTGGTTCGATCGATAATACACTGTTCTCTAAATCTTTCCGTCAAGGACACAACAATTGGCAAGGGGCATAAATATATCCAAGTTCAAGTCACAACATATATCTTAAAATAGCTAATTCGGTAGTAAAATGTAGTGAACGAGAACTCAAATACGGACAATCACATGTATTTGGATACAAAATTACAGTGCATCTTAGTAAAAGCTAAAAACCATACAGTAAATACTTCATTTGCAAAGTATCAATCAATCGTCTCAGACTTCTGTCGTTCCACGCCAAACATTCACTGTTCCCGTTCTCATTTCTTTGATCTTCTTAACATTCTGACGCTAGGCATTTCGCTTTCGATTGATGATACATACTAATTAGATCTGTCGACACCAGTAGAACATATCACAAACCATATTTCAAGTTACCATGTTCATTTTCAATAAACTAGATATGGAGATTTGGAATTATATCTGATATTTGTCTTGTTATGATTATATAGTGTATATATTTCTTTTTTTATTCAATGGACGTCTATTTATAAAAAGAATAACAATGAGTGATTATTACTAGTCGAATCCGTGTAAAGAAAGAACACAACATTAGGATAGTTTAAAATTCCTTCAGAGTTTCGACGTTAAAAAAACCCTGATTAATTGTTCATATATAGATAAGTATAAATATACATGGTGATTTGTATTAGACGTCTGAAATAAACAGAAATTCTTTAAATGCGTAGAATAGTATTCAGAATTCGTGAGTAAAAGCAAAACTTCAAAGTAGAAGTTATCTGTTTTCACGATTACATCGTTATTGGTAAGAGTCCGAACTATCCTATTTTTAATTTCCACGACTGGATATTAGTCAAGCACTGTTTTTATTCGTGGGTCGTGAACGGGTTGCTTCCATATGGCCATGTTGTTGTAAGTTATTTAAAATAGATGATTTGCAGCTAGCCTTAGAATCCAGGACATGCGTATCTTTCTATTTAGGACTCGTCAGTTGAATATATCGGAATACGGGATGCGTAATCGTAACCTATGGCTTCAAACATTCAACTCATAGTCTAATGAGTCACCGATTCAACGAGTCCATCAAACTGTTCAACGAGTATGATTTTTATACCATTATACATCAGCTTATACCAATTACATCAATGAATAACCAAAATTCAGTCATAAATATCAACAACGGAATAATTCAAGTCTTTACCAATAATGATAAAATTAACGTAAGCGCTAAGCAAGTTATAGACTATATCGAATAAATAGTTTTCTAGATAATATCTTAACTGTTTGTCGATAAAGGTCCTTAGTTTATACTCCAAAGCGAACATTAAAACTGGGATCCTAGCGAACCCAACTGAAGAGTCCCATATAAACTGAAATACTTATCTAGAATTTCATTGCTAGTCACAATCTCTTTACTCCATTCAAATATTTCTGTACTGTTTAGAAATACAAATAAACGATAAATACAGTCATTGAGATATCACAAATTCCGTGCACATAGATTGTTGAATAGATAACCTGAATGACTCTTGAATAAATGTAAAAATAAATTGATAAATATAAGCCCAGTCTATAACATGCGACGAATTAAAACAGATTATTGGCGCGCTATCACTAAACGAGTATATAAAATATCTATGACAAAGAAATATCTAACCAAATAAATTTCTTCAATAAAGAATACACAATTGATACTAAACATACTATGAACTTAATAAAGCAAACATTTCATTACATAAACGGAATACAGACATTATGACATTAAATAAGAAAGAAAGATTAGTTCAGCGAAGAGGTCTCTTTTCGGCGAATTCATTTTCAAAGCTGTACAATCGCAAATATATATACTTATTTTTACAGGGTGATAATAATACTGATAATAAACTTATGTTATACATGGTGACAATGAGGTTAAATAAACAAAGGTATTAGAAAAAAATTTTAAAACAAGGAAAGTTTGATAGTTAATGGCTTAGATATTCATCGGGTAAGGGTAGCTCAGCATGATAAAATAACATAAAATGTTGAAACAGAGATGAAATGTAATCGGAATGATCGCGGGTTGTTTTTATTTCTGCTGAGCTACCCTTACCCGATGAATATCTAAGCCATTAACTATCAAACTTTCCTTGTTTTTAAATTTTTTTCTAATACCTTTGTTTATTTAACCTCATTGTCACCATGTATAACATAAGTTTATTATCAGTATTATTATCACCCTGTAAAAATAAGTATATATATTTGCGATTGTACAGCTTTGAAAATGAATTCGCCGAAAAGAGACCTCTTCGCTGAACTAATCTTTCTTATTTAATTTCAGTATATACCTAGTGAAAAACATAAATAGATTTACAAAAACCATTAAGTATCCCAACAATATTGTCAACATGATCTGACCTTGGTATCAATGTATATAATAGTCAGCAATCAGCCATATATCCTCAATTCATTTATGCATAACAAGACTATCTTCTTCGATAGCATTATATTTGCTTCATGTAAGTTAATAAAACGTTAGATAGACAAACAATATATTTACAGTCCAATCAACCCATCACTTATTGAATACCAGTCCTAGATAAAGAATAGAAATGTAAAATCCCTTACAGTAAAATCAGGAAAATATATCTATATACACATAGATAATAAGTCAACGAAATAACACGAATTACACTCTCAAAGAAATCCACTTATGAATGACAGAACGAGACAAATCAGTTCACCTCATAAAAAAAACATTAAATAAACGTTATGTTATTAAAATACGCTAAATATCGATTCACCAGAATGCACTGATGACATTCCATCACATGTTCATTAATTACGAATTTATAATAAGTTTTTACGAACAACTGAATTACAATAAATAAACGAATGAGTAAATATCAATGTACGACTTATAGAAATGAAGGATAAATTTATTCACATAACTCAATGATTTTCACTATAAACTAATTATAATGAGAACAGATTTCATGTGTTTGTTATTCTCATTTATTCTATACTCACTGCTATGTCTAACAGGCAATGTTAGAAATCAATCGGTTCAAAGCCAAAACAGAACTAATACGTCAATAGAAATAGGAGCAGAAAGTTCAGGAGGACAAGATTCTGAATCCAGGAGAACGGAAACGAG